ACTTTATAAAAAACGGTACAAAAACACGGTGCAATAAACACGGTACTAAAGCTCAGTTTTATAACAATTCAATGATCTTTAAGACGCACTAATCCGTTAGTTTATTTTTCCTTTTAATTTTGTTAAAACTTTTCTGTTCTTTTTTTTTTTACTGAAAAAAACTTTAAAAAAAAACGTTTTTAAAAGATGTTTACCTTATTTCTTAGTTTGTTTTCTGTTAATTTTTTCAATCAGCATTTTCGACTGTAGTGGTGATTTTCAGCAACTTATTTCGTTCGAAAGTAATATCTTTACCGAGTTGCTTTCGGCAACCGGGTTGAGATGTGTCTAAACTAGAAAAAACCCCATAATTGCGATTTTCAGCAATTTCGGTTGAACAAAATAAAGAACAAATTGAACGAATTTTCAAAGTACCAGCAAAGTAAGTTATTACTTGAATCAGACTGCAAGCCCAGCAGTCTGTTGATCAAATCACTCTGAAGTAAAATCGAGCTGGTTAAAAAACAAAGAAAGTGTTTCTGAAAATATGAGCAGATAATATCAAAAACCAAAATGTAGAAATATATTGGCGATATAAACAACAGAAAAAGGCTAGAAAAAAGAGTAATACCTAGAACTTTTTGGGAACCAAAAATTTCAAAAACTTTTTCTTTTTTTTCAGTTTTTCGTGTCATTTTCTACAAAATATTGTATAACAGAAAATACGAGAAATTTTTAGTGTTTCGACTTCATGTTGTGACTAAATAGGCCGAACCACGTCGGTATCATAATTGACCAAAAATCTGTGGTCGCACAATAATGTAGTAGCCGGACCAAAACTCGATCTGAGGGTCCAACCATGAAAACCGACCATGAAATTTATTTTTTGGTAGGTGGATCAATTTAACATCCTCCCCCTAAATGATCCGATTTGAGCTCCGTCACCCAAGTGTTGTTCCGACCATTGAAAATGGGGAGGAACTTTGTATTCGGGTGTGTTTTAGTTTTCAACGCAAAAAGAGGTACCACAAACAATGATCGCACTGGGTTGAGTAATATATCATATTAAAGCCTTTTCAGTCATAACTTGAACCACATTAAAATTTTTCAAAACGTTTTCAAAGTGTCGAGAAAAATCGGTTTGAAATTTTTTATTTTTGTCTTAACTCGAAAAAATAAAGGAAGCGAGCAGGCTTAAAAACTGAATTATGCCTAATTTAAGACCTTAAACTTTAATTTTACGCAAGTAAACCAGTTTATGAAATTTTTTAGCTTCATTTTGGGAACCAAAAATTTCAAAAACTTTTTTTTTTCAGTTTTCCTTGTCATTTTCTACAAAATTTTGTGTCCAACTTGCTTATATTACTATGAATGTCTAATAAGCTTGAAGTACGCTTTCACGTCAGAACCTTTTATCCCACCAAACAGAAAAAAACTACACTTATTTGGAAAAAAAAACTTTCTAAACCGTAGTTTTGTGAAGACTATGGTCGGATCATTCTGTGCTACATTAACCGGCTATACTTTTTTTATTTAGATTTGAATCGCCTAGCTCTGCACTCAATTTTGATTGGCTTGAGGTTGCCAAGTTAGAACAATTTTGACACCTTTACCCCAAATACACCTGAAGGTAAAGGATTGAGCACAAAAAAGCTGGCTATATATTTTCGGAAAAATGTTGTTGTTTCCTTATCTTGTTTGTATTTTCCAGGTTTTTTAAACATAGACAAATTCAAATTCAACAGTTCTCATAGAAGCGAACGAGTTCTATTTTTTTGTTTCCTTTGTTTTTTTTTGTGTATTATGGTTTGAAATAACAAACTTTATAAAAAACGGTACAAAAACACGGTGCAATAAACACGGTACTAAAGCTCAGTTTTATAACAATTCAATGATCTTTAAGACGCACTAAACCGTTAGTTTATTTTTCCTTTTAATTTTGTTAAAACTTTTGTGTTCTTTTTTGTTTTACTGAAAAAAACTTTTAAAAAAAACGTTTTTAAAAGATGTTTACCTTATTTCTTAGTTTTTTTTCTGTTAATTTTTTCAATCAGCATTTTCGACTGTAGTGGTGCTTTTCAGCAACTTATTTCGTTCGAAAGTAATATCTTTACCGAGTTGCTTTCGGCAACCGGGTTGAGATGTGTCTAAACTAGAAAAAACCCCATAATTGCGATTTTCAGCAACTTCGGTTGAACAAAATAAAGAACAAATTGAACGAATTTTCAAAGTACTAGCAAAGTAAGTTATTACTTGAATCAGACTGCAAGCCCAGCAGTCTGTTGATCAAATCACTCTGAAGTAAAATCGAGCTGGTTAAAAAACAAAGAAAGTGTTTCTGAAAATATGAGCAGATAATATCAAAAATCAAAATGTAGAAATATATTGGCGATATAAACAACAGAAAAAGGCTAGAAAAAAGAGTAATACCTAGAACTTTTTGGGAACCAAAAATTTCAAAAACTTTTTCTTTTTTTTCAGTTTTTCTTGTCATTTTCTACAAAATATTGTATAACAGAAAATACGAGAAATTTTTAGTGTTTCGACTTCATGTTGTGACTAAATAGGCCGAACCACGTCGGTATCATAGTTGACCAAAAATCTGTGGTCGCACAATAATGTAGTAGCCGGACCAAAACTCGATCTGAGGGTCCAATCATGAAAACCGACCATGAAATTTATTTTTTGGTAGGTGGATCAATTTAACATCCTCCCCCTAAATGATCCGATTTGAGCTCCGTCACCCAAGTGTTGTTCCGACCATTGAAAATGGGGAGGAACTTTGTATTCGGGTGTGTTTTAGTTTTCAACGCAAAAAGAGGTACCACAAACAATGATTGCACTGGGTTGAGTAATATATCATATTAAAGCCTTTTCAGTCATAACTTGAACCACATTAAAATTTTTCAAAACGTTTTCAAAGTGTCGAGAAAAATCGGTTTGAAATTTTTTATTTTTGTCTTAACTCGAAAGAATAAAGGAAGCGAGCAGGCTTAAAAACTGAATTATGCCTAATTTAAGACCTTAAACTTTAATTTTACGCAAGTAAACCAGTTTATGAAATTTTTTAGCTTCATTTTGGGAACCAAAAATTTCAAAAACTTTTTTTTTCAGTTTTTCTTGTCATTTTCTACAAATTTTTGTGTCCAACTTGCTTATATTACTATGAATGTCTAATAAGCTTGAAGTACGATTTCACGTCAGAACCTTTTATCCCACCAAACAGAAAAAAACTACACTTATTTGGAAAAAAAACTTTCTAAACCGTAGTTTTGTGAAGACTATGGTCGGATCATTCTGTGCTACATTAACCGGCTATACTTTTTTTATTTAGATTTGAATCGCCTAGCTCTGCATAAATACTCAATTTTGATTGGCTTGAGGTTGCCAAGTTAGAACAATTTTGACACCTTTACCCCAAATACACCTGAAGGGAAAGGATTGAGCACAAAAAAGTTGGCTATATATTTTCGGAAAATTGTTGTTTTTTCATTATCTGTTTTGTTTTTTCCAGGTTTTTCAACCATAGACAAATTCAAATTCAACAGTTCTCATAGAAGCGAATGAGTTCTATTTTTTGTTTACTCTGTTTTTTTTGTGTAATATGGTTTGAAATAACAAACTTTATTAAAAAAACGGTACAAAAACACGTTGCAATAAACGCGGTACTAAAGCTCAGTTTTATAACAATTAATCTTTAAGACGCATTAATCCGTTAGTTTATTTTATTTTTTAAATTTGTTAAAACTTTTATGTTCTCTTATGTTTTACTGAAAAAAAACTTTTAAAAAACCGTTTTTAAAAGATGTTTACCTTATTTCTTAGTTTTTTTTCTGATTTTTTTTCAATCAGCATTTTCGACTGTAGTTGTGATTTTTAGCAACTTCTTACCGAGTTGCTTTCGGCAACCGGGTTGAGATGTTTCTAAACTAGACAAAGTCCTATAATTGCGATTTTCAGCAATTTTGGTTGAACAAATTAAAGAACAAATTGAACGAATTTTTAAAGTATTAGCAAAGTAAGTTATTACTTGAATCAGATTGCAAGTCCCAGCAGTCTGTTGATCAAATCACTCTAAAGTAAAATCGAGCTGGTTGAAAAACGAAGAAAATGTTTCTGAAAATATGAGCAGATAATATCAAAAATTAAAATGTAGAAATATATTAGCGATATAAACAACAGAAAAAGGCTAGAAAAAGGAGTAATACCTAAAACTGAATCTCCATTTTTTTGCAAAACGTTGCTCATCACCGCAAAATCATGAATTCTTAGAGCTTTTGTTAAAACTAAAATTAATAAGCCACAAACTTTAGCTCTTAGCTCTTACTGAACCCTGCCAAAATTTAAAAAGATTATATGGGGTTTGATATTTTCAAATCGGCACGTTGTCAACATATAGAAACAGTGAATGAAAACAGACGCGGTGTAGGTGTTGCTTTCTACGAAAGCAAAAGTATCTCATTTAAAAAAGTTAAAGGACTGACTTCAGACAAAATGCAAATTTTGACTATTTTGTGCTAAAACAGCAGAGAGAAAAAATTTCCTTTTGTTGTCTTTAAAGTAACTCAAATAAACAATTGAAAGTCTCTTGATCAGTTACAAGCTTATCTGTTCCGAGTTGAAAATACAACCTGGAAACATGCACACTATATGTGGAGACTCTATATGTGGAGACACTTTATATGCACACAGTGAATATATCAAAACAACATCAGTTTACTCAACAATCCATTTGATTGTAAAAGATTTTTGTTAAAACTAGCGACCAATTTTTTTACTCGTACTCTAACTTCAACTATGTCAGCCATCTCAGTTTCGTTTTGCATCCAGTGCATTATCATTTTGTGCTGGTTTGCAGATTCCTAGACAAAAAATATTATGGGAAGAAACAATACCAAAACTCTGTTCAGTTTGTCGGGGCCAATTCAGTCCAAACTGATCGGTGGTTTCAGAAGTAGTGCCAGACCTTTTTTTGTCAAACTTCATGCTGAATTTGGCGCCAATCGCAGAAATTATGAGTTTTGTGGGGAGTTGTGATTCACCCCAGATGGGTGTTGACAGCTGCTCATTGCGTTGACCTCAAAAACAGTGAGTTGAATTCACATTTCGAGTCTTTTCTGTTTCTAAGCCCGAAATTCTTGTTTATTGTTATTTTGAAAAATGAATCTTTATCCTCGAATCTGATTTTGTCAGAAATTAGCTCAAGCCAAATCTTGAGTCACATTATAATGAGAAGCTTATTCAACAGTTTGGCAATTTTGGGCCGCATAACAGAAAATACCAGAGATTTTTAGTGTTTCGACTTCATGTTGTGACTAAATAGGCCGAACCACGTCGGTATCATAGTTGACCAAAAATCTGTGGTCGCACAATAATATAGTAGCCGGACCAATATTCGATGTGAGGGTCTAAACATGAAAACCCTCCATGAAGTTTATTTTTTGGTAGGTGGATCAATTTAACATCCTCCCCCTAAATGATTCGATTTGAGATCCGTCACCCAATTGTTGTTCCAATCATTGAAAATGGGGAGGAACTTTGTATTCGGGTGTCTTTTAGTTTTTAACGCAAAAAGAGGTACCACAAACAATGATCGCACTGGGTTGAGTAAAATATCATATTGAAGCATTTTCAGTCATAACTTGAACCACATTAAAAATTTTCAAAACGTTTTCAAAGTGTCGAGAAAAATCGGTTTGAAATTTTTTATTTTTGTCTTAACTCGAGCAAATAAAGCAAGCGAGCAGGCTTAAAAACTGAATTAAGCCTAATTTAAGACCTTAAATTTTAATTTCAAGCAAGTAAACCAGTTTATGGAACTTTTTAGTTTCATTTTGGGAACCAAAAATTTCAAAAACTTTTTCTTTTTTTTTTCAGTTTTTCTTGTCATTTTCTACAAAATTTTTTGTCCAACTTGCTTATATTACTATGAATGTCTAATAAGCTTGAATTACGCTTTCACGTCAGAACCTTTTATCCCACCAAACAGAAAAAAACTACACTTATTTGGAAAAAAAACTTTCTAAACCGTAGTTTTGTGAAGACTATGGTCGGATCATTCTGTGCTACATTAACCGGCTATTCTTTTTTTATTTAGAGTTGAATCGCCTACCTCTGCATAAACACTCAATTTTGATTGGCTTGAGTTTGCCAAGTTAGAACAATTTTGACACCTTTACCCCAAATACACCTGAAGGGAAAGGATTGAGCACAAAAAAGCTGGCTATATATTTTCGGAAAATTGTTGTTGTTTCCTTATCTTGTTTGTTTTTTCCAGGTTTTTCAAACATAGACAAATTCAAATTCAACAGTTCTCATAGAAGCAAACGAGTTCTATTTTTTTGTTTCCTTTGTTTTTTTGTGTTATATGGTTTGAAGTAACAAACTTTATAAAAAACGGTACAAAAACACGGTGCAATAAACACGGTACTAAAGCTCAGTTTTATAGCAATTCAATGATCTTTAAGACGCATTAATCCGTTATTTTATTTTTTCTTTTAATTTTGTTAAAACTTTTCTCTTTTTTTTGTTTTACTGAAAAAAACTTTTAAAAAAACGTTTTTAAAAGATGTTTACCTTATTTCTTAGTTTTTTTTCTGTTAATTTTTTCAATCAGCATTTTCGACTGTAGTGGTGATTTTCAGCAACTTATTTCGTTCGAAAGTAATATCTTTACCGAGTTGCTTTCGGCAACTGGGTTGAGATGTGTCTAAACTAGAAAAAACCCCAGAATTGCGATTTTCAGCAATTTCGGTTGAACAAAATAAAGAACAAATTGAACGAATTTTCAAAGTACTAGCAAAGTAAGTTATTACTTGAATCAGACTGCAAGCCCAGCAGTCTGTTGATCAAATCACTCTGAAGTAAAATCGAGCTGGTTAAAAAACAAAGAAAGTGTTTCTGAAAATATGAGCAGATAATATCAAAAATCAAAATGTAGAAGTATATTGGCGATATAAACAACAGAAAAAGGCTAGAAAAAGGAGTAATACCTAAAACTGAATCTCCATTTTTTTGCAAAACGTTCGCTCATTACCGCAAAATCATGAATCTTTAGAGCTTTTTTTGAAACTAAAACTAATAAGCCGCAAACTTTAGCTCTTAGCTCTTACTGAACCATTGCCAAAATTTAAAAAGATTATATGGAGTTTGATATTTTCAAATCGGCACGTTGTCTACATATTGAAACAGTGAATGAAAACAGACGCGGTGTAGGTGTTGCTTTCTACGAAAGCGAAGGTATCTCATTTAAAAAAGTTAAAGGACTGACTTCAGACAAAGTGCAAATCTTGACTATTTTATGCGAAAACAGCAGAGAGAAAAAATTTCCATTTGTTGTCTATAAAGTACCTCAAATAAACAATTGAAATTCTCTTGATCAATTACAAGCTTATCTGTTCCGAGTTGAAAATACAGCCTGAAAAAATGCACACTATATGTGGAGACAGGAATGTTGATGTGTCTAAGTCGACAAGTGAAAAGTGAAAGTACTAGAATAACGAAAAGCAGCCAGTCAACAATAGATTTTTTTGTTTACCAATTTTTATTCGCTAGTAAGGGTCCAACACAACTCTATATCGGATCATGAGGCAGTAGAATTTGAGACAAAATTTCTCTCTGAGGACAAAACTTTGCTTAAAAAGCATAATTTCGATTTTTGGCATAATTGGAACGTTTTGGATAACCATGAGACTTTGCTGAAGTTCAATTTTGCGCTGTGGCAGACCACTGAAAAATTAAATTGAAAACTGATACTGAAGATGTGAATGATTGCTTTTTACAGCTCCTCTTAGCTATCCTATGTACTTGTGAAAAATTCCTAAGCTCCCAAACAATAAAAGTAATCAAAATTGGTTAACAGCTAAAATCAAAAATGAGAGTAAAAAAAATACCTGAACAATAGGAGTAATTGTAATCTTAATCAATTCTAGAAACATCAAAAAAAGTGAAAAACTTGTGTCGAAAATCAAAAATTATTTTCTTTGAGAGAAGACTTGAAAGCAACAGCTATAAAAGTTTGAAAGTTTTTTTTTTTTATAAAATCGTAGATGATATCAGAAAAAAATGAAGAATAAGTGAGTCCAAAACACAGCATTCCGAGTGCTCAAAATTTTCACGATTATTTAATGAAATTGATCAAAAGCTCATCGAAAGTATGGCAACACCACAGAATCTAAATATTTTGTAGAAAAGGAAAATGCAAAATTTTTTGAAAAAATTTCACCCCAGGAAGTTTAAGAAGGAAAAAACAGCCTTGATAATTACAAAGAAAGTAACAACCTGATCAAAAACATTAATTCAGTTATATCTGAGCTACTCAGTTGCCTTTTTCTTAAATGTATAGAGTTGTCATATTATCCTTTTTTCAGTTTTTAAGATTGCTTAAATTCAACCAATTCATGAAAATGGCACATTGTCTTTTTCGAAAAGTTGATTAATAAACGCTAGAGAAATTTTTTGAATAAATCTGAATAATTAACAGCATGTCAGTACGAATTCCGAAATAAAAAAGCACTGTTGATGCTGTCGTATTACTCACTGAACGAATAGTGGAGAACTTAGAAGATGATGTTGGCTCCGGGTGTTCGTTACGCAGTTGATCACATTATCTTATTGGAAAAATGCGAACTATACGGCTTACGAGGTAGCCTTTTGAGGTCAAACCTTGAAAATCGTAAGCAGTACGTTTGTTATAACAATTCATTATCAGACACTAGAACAGTCTGATATGGTGTACCACAAGATTCAGTCCTGGGTCCTTTGTTGTTTTTGCTGTATATAAATGGTTTGCCACACGTCTGTATGCATAATAAGAATGTAATTTTTGCTGATGATTGCGCACAGTATACAAGAAACAAAACTACAACAGAAAATCAGAAAATCAATGGCTGGTGAACTCTGATACAAGCAATGTTGGAGATTGGTTTTTGGAGTTAGCTTACCAAAAACAAAATGAAACAGCCACCTTAGAGTTCAACAGGAAGAATATTTCTAACATTAGATTCCATAAATACTCAGTTCTAATAATTGACTCATGGCTCTTGTGGCAATAAACAACTTCTTGGATACATAAATGAACATGAGATAACAGATTCTAACAAAACAGGCAAAACAAAAACTTTGCAGCCGAAATAAGCCTGCTATAAGAGCGAAAAAGAAGATCAAAATTAGGGCTCATATTTTGAATAATAAGTTTTTACAGCTGGATAAAAACTTTCTTCTTGAAGCGTTAACAACTACCAATGAATCTGTGGACTCGTTTTTTTATTTGTCAAGATCTCTTTTTCTCTTTTTAATTTTTTGTGATAATAAAAAAAAATTGCGGTCCTTTTGTCTATATGATCTAACTTAGGTAGACGAATAGGTTTGGCTCATCGAGATGCCACCCGAGAGGCTGATGCCTTTTTCTTATTTTTACCAAGCCGAATTTAATCTAAAAAAAAAACATTTTTATAGAATGTATGCTTATAAGTTTTGGCTTAAAAAGAAAATTATATTGATATGACTAAGTTTTTGTTGCTTCGTGAGAGCCTCAGAAACATCGAAATCCATCACAAATCAGAGTCAAAAGTACCAATTTCTTAACATGAATTTATATACTAATAAGTATTATAGCACGAAAACGTGATGATTTTTAGTTTTCGGTGGGGGGGGGGGTTACATGCTCAAACTGATGTGATAAGCTCTTAAATAAATGAAGCCACAAATAAGTTTCAGGGGGCATTTAAAAGTTTTTTTAAGTGCCGCTTTTGAGATCTATTTGGATCATTTTTTACCAAAGATTTTTTTTGGCGTACGCCATCACCCCCCACCCCCACCTCACACCTTGCGTTTATTGGCCACCCGGTGCCTTAAGAAACTTTTTTGATGGTTTTTGGACCAAAAATGGATGCTGTAAAGGCGTAGCAAAATGGGTATACTTACTTGGACCGCCAGAGAGGATCGATTCCCAGAGGAAGTCCCCCCCCCCCCCCCCCCCCCACGCTAAGACCGCCCATTTTTAGCAGATATATTCTGTGCGAGCGGGTAATGATAAATCAAAGTAGATAAAAATGAAAATTTTCTCTTATGAAACTATTTTTGGTCCCTGACTAGCTATGACTGTCTGGTTGTTTCAGATGAGAAAGTGTCGCTAGAGTTTGCCGACTTCCGCGTTGATGCGTCAAAGAGACTGAGTACATTTATAGGAACCCAAGCCATAGTACTAGCCAAAGAGTGAGTCGCAATATAATTCACAGTAATCGGACTTGTATGAATTGCGGTGATTCAATTAACATTCTTCCGTTATTACTTGAAAACAAGTCGTAGTGCATTTAAAAACAAGAAAAAACTGTTGGAATCTTTGAATATCCCCCACGTTTTCACGATGGGGGGGGGGGGGTTCGTAAACAGGTACAAAAGTTACATATTCTTAAACGTTGAGTTTTTTATAGCTAGGAGTTTGTTACTGGGTACCGTAGGGGGGATCGTTACAGAGATCCATTTTTTCACACAATTTGTCTGAGCTCTTCATGCTTTGATAAGCATTAATGGTTGGTTTTTGGGCGTTCGGGGTATGTATTGTAATTTTTGAAAATCAACTGTAAAAAAAATTATGACCCGAACGTCACTCTATGGCTTGCAATGGTTCCCTATGATATATTTTTTCAAATTTAATTTTTTAAAGTTCATATTGTAAAATTTAGTTATTGAATTTTCTTGATTTCAGTTACAAATCCGATCCTCGTAAGCCCTACAAAGACCTGGCTCTTATCAAAATGAAATGGGAAGTCTCCGATATTTATGTACTTCCAATGTGTCAAGAGGAACACCACACGTACCTGGGCGAACTTCTGGGCGCATGCGGTCTGGGTTCAGTATCCGGCGACAGAAGGAACCCAGTTTATCCAGACATCTTGTTGGAAACTTATTTCTATGATCAAAATTATACAACTTCTCAGCGCGAGTTTAGTCCGGATAATTGCAAATACGACCAAATATGCACAGAACCAGGGTTCGAAGGATCAAATATCTGCTACCTTGATGACGGGGGTCCCCTCTACGCTTTTGACTTGTCGACCATTCAACCCAAATGTGTAATCGGCTTAGCTAGTTATGTAACAAACGTCGGCAATGGCTGTGACGGATATAGCGTGTTTGTAAACCTTGAAGCCTTCCGAGCAAAAATTTTGAAAATTATTGAACAATATACTTAAAGCCATAAGTTATAACAAAAAAAACTGCTATTATCAAGACAAAGACTTGAAGGAACGTTACTGCTTTTTGAATGTCTGAAATTGTTTTTGGTTTAAAATTTATTGAAAATTTAAAACTGAAAAATTTAAAAACAAAAAAATTCCCCCGAGCGATATTTCAAATTCGCAACGTTACATTTTGCGTCCGGTAAGGTATTATTTGGGTTAGTTAACTTACCTGAATTCAATTTACAAAAATTTCTGAGACTAATAATTTGACCATTTACCATATTGGCTCAAAAACACCCTTATTTTACGCGCATTAATTTATCCTTCTGTGACCTAAATGCCTTTTGTCAAACACCATTACTTTTTTGAATGATTTCAAATGAACATATGTTGTGCCTACGTTTTTTTGAGGTAAAAAAGTTTAAGCACACTGACCACCAACAACCAGGGGCTGATCTAGGACTTTCTTGGGCGGATTTTCAAAATTCTGTCGATCTTTTTTAGAACGACCAAACTGATTATCTGAGCTGCCCCAAATCACTATAAACACTGTATTTTGACCAAATTTTATGCACCGCAAGCAAATTCTGAAAAACCAGACAAAAACAGGCGTTTTTAGGCATTTTTTTGAAAAACTTTATACAAAAATTCGCGTTTTTTTGTCGTGCTGTAGTGAAACAAACTAATGCCTAAACTTTTTCTTTTTGAAGTCTGACTTATAAATCGCCGAAAAAGCCGGAAAAGATTGAACAAGATATGCAAAAAAAATTGAACAATAAAGTTGGCCCAAAAAAGGGTAAAAATTATTTGAGTGAAACATATCCGACGAGATATTAGATATCAAAATGTTGCTAAAATGTTTTGAATACTAACAGCTACGGGTATTGATTGTCAAAGATTCCACTTGATTTTCGCAAAACTCAGCTTGTTAGCAGCACAGCGGAACTGCAGCTGCAGAAAGTGCTTTAGAATTCTTTTCTGCAAAACAAACTGTTTAAGGAAAAACGTGGCGTAGGCGTTAGGATAATTTTATGATGCATCAAGCAAGCAATGAAACTTTAAGAATTATAGGCCGAAACACCACAAGTGTTTGACTTTCAACCGGATTTTACGGACTTGCTGATATTCCGAATGCAATTTAAAGAGTCATGAACTCATTATAAAAGGACATCATTTTTACGAATTGCTACAATTACGATACTTCAATTGCCTCAAAAGGGTCGTTTGAAGAACACAAATCAATTTCAACCAGAATACTCGCAAGTTTCGACAGGAATAAAAAGGCGGTGAAATGGGGGAAAGTTTCAAAAAAAACATAGATTCGTTTAAGTTTAAGATATCAAAAGCAGGGATGCGACAGATCCACGGAAAAGCTGACGCAATGCAAAACCTCCCTTCATATGCCAAAACAGTTCCGAGCTCCGATCAATTTTTGGTTCGGTCACCCAATATATCAAAGTTGTACTGCACATGCAAACACTTAGCTCACAGTTCAGTCGCTGTTAAACAAAAATTTTGTCAGCATATGGAACGCCGACTACTCAAGTTTCAAAAATTGAAAAGCAGAAAAGTAAGTATCACGGAACCAGGCACTTTGATATTGGAGAAAAAACTACATTGAAAACTTGCGCTTCTCACATTGGGTTGAGAGCAGCAACGCTAGAATAACTGCAAGGGACGAGTGGAATAATATCGGGCTAACGTTAAGGTTCATTAATCATGAACTGTAATACTCTACTATTGAAAATCACTGCTCAAGGCAACTACTTCAGATTATGACTAGAGAAAAAAGTCATTTAGGACCTGACTTCGACAACCAAGGGCAAAAGAACATTGGGATTTCCTGGAGCCCATATGAAAAACTTCGAAGAAGACCTTCAAGTCAAAGACGAGCTACGCTTCCTTGACAACAAGAAAGTTCATTCCACGAAATCTTTTAGCATTCAGCGGTGCAATTCATTCCATATTAATTGAGACTGAGCGGGGACAATTCGGAATTAATTTTTTTAGCCGGATTTATATAGTGGTCACGCATTTCTAGGGAGATTTACCACCATGACAAGTCTTTTCATCAAAAACTAAAAAACTGTAACAAACTCAAATAACTATTGCGATTTATTCACATGAGACAACTTCCGGACTTGTCATTCGCTAACTGAGAAATGATTTTAGACTTTGGACGCTTTCTGTGCAACGCAGAACAACACTTTATTGAGTTTCGACTGTTTTGCGAATTTTTTTAGGCAGGTTCTCTCACTTTCTGTTTCATTTTTTAAGTTTGCTGTCACTGAAATGGGTATCCGAAAAAAAAAGAGTAGACCATGGATCATGTTTCTGATCTACTGTTTTTAAATCTTTTTGTGAAAAGTTTTTTGTTGAAATATTTTTTGTACAGAGGGAGATCATGTGCATGTAGAAAGACTTCTAAACAAAATTAAGGCAAAGTCAATTGCCACGTCTTTCGAATTGCTTAAGCGACTCTTGTTTTTGTCAATTGAAAAGATCATTTGGATTTTGAGAATTTCAAAACAAACATCAATCGGGTGCACTCTTTCCGAGAAACATTGTAACCGAACCGCTAACACTCGCTGAAGAAACCTGATTTCCCATGATAACCATTCAATTTAAGGGCTGTACATACTATCAAAGAAGAGAGCGCATCAATGGGAACTGCATGAAAGGTGGAAAACGGTTATCTGGACGCACACTTTATCAAATACCAATCCTCGACAGATTCCGAGCGCTATTCCTTTCGCAGGAAGCCCTACTTTTTCTCAGACTTTTCCAAAAAAGTTATCGGGACGCAATTGATACAGAAAAGACCCGAACCGTAAATACGGGAAGCCATGCTTTGGTCTCGGCGAGGAAAAAAATTATAACTGCTCAAAACACACGGTAACCCTAGATAACGGTCACTTACCTTCGGAAACGAGATGTCGCCTTTTAGGGTGAAAAATCTCCCATAAGATAAAAAACACCACCAGCTCAAAGCCCCAGGATACAACACCCACCATCATTCCAGAATGACTTCAAGACTCGGCAGGTTCTTCCTTGTCATTGGACTTAGTTTCTTGGGACAATAGACAATATCAGCAATGAATTTTGGAGGACGTCTAAAGCACAATCACGATTACTTCTAACCATTAGAGTAAGTCACTTGTTCATAACTTTGAAGTGAACTCTTCAGGAGCAAACAGCTGACATCACATGGACGTGACAATGTAGGATAGCCCGACGTTCCTAGCTTTACGGAACAGATAAGATCTGCATATAAACCAATTTCTGTGGATAGTTTTACCGACGAACCCAAGCGTTCCCCTCAGTAGCCTTCGTCGTGGCCTTTTAGAAAAGGAAAAATGTGGGACCACCGAAATTTTTTGGAGAAAAAGATTCGTGGTCAAGGTGTCAAAAAAGTCTTTTTGGTACCAACGGTCATTACACCAGAGGACAACCCCAATCAAAGCCACATGCCTACCTTGCTTTTCTTCATGGTAACCTTCCGATTTCCTTACTCCTTCACTTCATACACCTATCAAACCAGCGTTTGAGTCGTCGAAATTAATATCCCTGCAACCCATATTTATCCACACCACACACCTTCCCCTATCAATTATAGCCTTTCTGCACAATCCGGACGGTAGCACTTGTCTCTAAAATCAAAAGTTTCTCTTCATGAACGAATTACCCGCATTAACTGCACCTTCAAGACCACATAGACATACGGAATATAGTAGCGAAATATCGTCAACAATCAATCAGGAGTTGAAAAAAGAACCTAGAAGACTTTGATTAAGAAATCAACAAAAACTAAATCTACTCACTTTTCTTAAAACTGGCAATCTTTTATGTCATGTTAATCCAGTAAATTCATTTTGTGATTAGGTTCTGTAATTTTAGCTGTACATTTGCATGTACCGAGTTAGATTTGCTTAATTGTAGATTTACCGACCCTGTAAAATTGCAAAATCAACCAATTTGTGATTATTCATCTTGTACATAGTATATTTCATGTACAAGCTCTATCTTGTTTTTTGATATTTTATTCATTATGCATTTTGTAATTTTGTTCGTTCTACTCTGAAGAGGGAGGGAAATGGGGGTTTACAGATTTAGTATTGTCATTTGTTTTGAAAACTTAGTTCATATGACCTTCGGAACTGTTTATATGCGTGTCAGCTATGTTATGCATCGATCATCGGTCGATCATTCACTGCGCAAAATTAGTCTGAGAATAGACATTTTATATCAAACACAATTCTACGTTGTTTTATTCTTTTAGTTTTGAGTACACAATGATACAAAAGTACAACTTCCTATTGCTTCATGCAGAGGCTAAGCATCGCTCGGCAAACACTACTGAGAATATGACAAAAAGCAGCTCTATGAAAATCATTAATAAGAGAAAAAAACAAGACTCAAATTAGTTGAAATTTGGCTACGGCTCGAATTCGATCTGCGATCTAGATATTATGAGTCTCACGCGCTTAACCACTCAGCCCGGGGCGCTTAAGTCATCACAAACACTAGCCAGGAATGAATCAGAGAACAGATATGAAATTTCCAATGCTACAGATCGTCATGTTCAAAAGTGCCACTAAATGAATAATCTTGATAATAAATTTGCAATAAGCCCGCAAGGCGGGGATTAGTTGCTCATAGTAATTGGTAACAAAGTTAGTACAACAAGCTTAAAAATCTTGACTCTGGGTAAATCGAGAATTTAAATGCTTGTAATTTGTCAACCAATAACAGGTTCAATTTCTTTCTAAAGATTACAGGTTCTTGAAAAAGATCATAGCCAGGCAAATTGTTTGATCTCGCGACGGTGTTATTATTGGCATTCTTAAAAACGTCCTGTTTTCCGTTCGATTTGAATCAGTGCTAATGTCGATTGTCCAAAAATCAAGAAAATTTATCGGCAACTCGTTATTAAGAATGTTATTCAGCAAAATTAAATAACATCAGTAAAATTGGCAACAATTTGCTTTTATTCAAGTAAAAAACATAATCCTGGTCATTCAATTTGTGTTTTTGTAACACTATTTTATGCATCGTCGTTGAAATTTTTCTAGTTGCTTACATTGGTTTTTAGTAGCAAACCAAACTGGAGATGCATAAAAAATCATTGATGCAACTTTTAAAAAGCGAAACTCAGAGCTACTCAGTGAGTTTGGCGAAAAACTTCTGATGTAATTAAATTCCATGTCTGCTTCTTTAAGCTTTTCTGTGCTGTGGTATATCCATGACATTTTGAAATTCCACCAAACACCAGGGTCTTCCACTGTGTTTTTTAAAACTATTTGTTCTTCATCAAAAGACAAAAGATCGCTTAAAGGGTATCTTTTATCTGAATTTTGAAATCTAATTTAATCAAATTTGTCAAAATTGAAGTCCAATCTGTTTTCTGCTGCCCAAGCATTTGTTTTCTGCTGCCTAGGTTATTACATTGTTTAAATCTCTTTGAATCGAAGAAAGGTGAAACCAATTTCCACTTATTTTTGAATCGTCAGCATATAAAAAGGAAGGGTTGTCAATAGTTTCTGGCATATCTTTTATATATAATGAAAACAAGATGACTGCAAAAAACAATCCCTGTAGACCACCAATTGTTTTAATGCGGAATGAGACAATGTACTACAAAGAAAAACTATGTTTTCTGTATGTGAGATAAGATGCAAAAGGTGAAGAAACTTGTGGTCAAAGCCTTTTTTGGCAAGCTTGCATAAATTGATGTTCTGGCTAATAGAGTCGAAAGCTTTTGCAAAAACTAAAAATAGCGTAAGAGATAATTCTCCTTGTTCTAATTTCTTCTGTACAAAATCACAGTACAATAGAATGTTTGTCACAGTCAAATGGTGTTTTTTAAAGCCATGTTGGTTTTTACACAACGTTCTTTGAATGAACCTTTTTATCTTGTTGTATAAAACCCGTTCAACTAATAGGGCGAGCGCAGTAAGCTTTGAAATGGACCTGTATTTTTCAACGTTCATACGTGAAAATTTTTTGTGTAAAGGATTAATGTGTGCTATTTTCCAGATACCTAGAAACTGTTCATTACTGACTATGCAATTAAATAGTTCAACCATATCATTCAAACAAAATTGTAAAAAAAATTTATATGTTAAGAGTTATACCATCAACTGAATTTCTTCCTGATTTGCATTTACTCAATTCGTGAAGAATTTTGCATTGCGAAATGAAAATATCTGATAAGCATATTCCTGGAAAAATACTTTCGCTTGGAACATTCAATGGTTTGTAGTATTTTGTACACAGATGCAAAAAAAACTCGTTAACAGCCTCACAAACTGCAGAATCAGAGCTTAAACTGGTATTTTTGTATGATTTTTTCTGTGGTACTGTTGCCTTATCGATCTGAGAAATTTGTAAGTCATTTTTAAATCGAAGTCTTTCTTCGACTAAAGTAAACGGCTTTGTCTAGTTCTAAAGAATCATTCAATTCTTGCGTGTAGCGCTTAACTTTCTCGTCAGAATAATTGTTTCCTTGCGGTCTGAAGACAGTTTTTAGCATTTTTTGAGTGTGATGACATCCAATGGGAGACTTTAGAGCGATGAATGGACTTTTTAGGAATGTATTTGTTAACTATTTGACAATACAACCCATATAACGTTTCAAACATTCTATATGCATCATTCGAGCAATGAAGTCTGTTGTTTAAGAAAAACAAAAGCAATGGTTCGGAATCTGCTTTACGGATACAGTAGCGGTTTAGATTTAACTGTTCCGTTTTAATTAATTTCAAATTCTAGATGTTCTACCATTTTAGATGTTCTAAAACTTAGATGACGTTTTAACCGCAATTATGACTCCTCCATGAGGTCCAATTTTCTTATAAGAACGGTCAATTACTACATATACAGCTATGCAGAAGACTGCAGTTTTTGCAACATATTTATCGAACCATGTTCCACTTGGGGCAACAATGTCAGGTTGATGGATTCGCAATAAGTTTTCCAGCTTGATTTTCCGTTCAATTTTTAAATTTGGTCTGCAATTAAGTTGCAAAAATTATATGTTATTTAGTAGTCAAGAGGAAGTGTTTCTTTACCAAGAGTTGACCACAATCAGATTAAATTTTTTTGTTACAGTCAACTTGGGAAAAGCCAAAAACAAGGCTTCCAGCTTTATTTTATATCTGATTTTTCTTTTTGCATCAAATACAAAAATCTGAAATATAAGAACGTATCTATATTTCAGATTTTTTTCGTTCTGATAGTGCCTTTAATTTATGAAATTTTTGATATACATATTCGAATTCTTTAGCTTTCTCAATGACAGAAAAATAAATTTTTGATGTCAAGGATATGGAATGTAAAAAACAAGAGGTCTTGATATGTATGGTTGTTCTTTACCAATTCTAAGAGAGTCGCTCACAGTAATTTCTTTAAATTCCACCCTATCTCTGAACATTTGCAGCAAACTATTTCTGTCCCTTTCAAATTGTACAACTTTATTGTCCTGTATAATTTCTGCTAATCCATATATCACTACTTTTTTCCCATAAGACCAGAGTCTGTTTTAGCTTGGTTTGGGGTGGGAGCATTATTAATTGATGCAGATTAACTGCTCTGTTTTGATATATGTTCGCGCAAAACAATGGTATCTATCTCAATTGACGAAAAATCGTTACTTGTTCGACTGGACTGCTTTAAAGAAGCACGGTTTTTTATTTCTGCAGTTTCTTTCTGAATTGTCAATATTTGGTCGTTATTCTGTTATATTGAAAAACTTACACCGGCTAGATTGTTTTGGATCGCTAAACTTGCGTTTTGGATTTCGTATGTGTTTTTTTTTTCAAAAGATTGTTTCAGTTTATCATTTTTTATTTTTAAGTCTAGGCACCCCTCGCATTTCCAGAAAGATCCTTTTACTTTATCTAAACTTTGCAGAACTTCCTTGGGCACTTTGTTGCAGTTTTTGTGAAACCAGGTTTCCCAAATGTCACACGAATGGTAATTAAATTTGCATTCAGTTCCGCAAAGTTTACTTGTATATTCGGGATCTTCTAGAAATACATCACTTATATTCTGTTTATTAAACGTTTTCCGTTTCATTTTTGGCGTTTCCTCAGAAAAAGCTTGGGGGAACAATTATATCAATCTCACTTGGGCTGGATGCCTTCAATCCAGCCCAAGTGTCCACCAATAGGGATCTGTTGGATTGTTCTTTCAAAAGGTTTCCTCCAAACCAGTCCAAAAATCCACTACTGGGTAAAGTTTTTTCAAGCCCCCACGCGTAAAGTTTCACTGGTCAGATTGGTTTGATGTGATATAGTATTGTGACGCAAAAAAGCAATTTTTTTTAGATCCATTTTCTAGATCCATTTTTCTTTTCGAAGCAAACCGCACGTGCAATCTTGACAATTTAAATGAAAACTTTTTTTGAGAGTTTGAAAGGTTCGTAATAATACACTACGCTCGCAAGCGCACAAGTGTAATAAGGGTGTATAATGCAAAATAATATATAGATAATATATCTCTATGCGACCCAACTTGAATCTGTTTAACAATCGCTTATGGTATTGCCACCCCTATAAATATACGCAGTAAATTAGCACTAGAGTGTTCTATTTATAGTTCGAATTTTGCTGTATTCAATTATGCTGATCGCGGTCAAAAACTCGACAACTCAATCTACATAACCAACACCCCTTTTCTTGATTGCCATAATTCCTTAACATCCCCTTCAGGGAAAGTTCGAACAATAATTGAAAAAAAAACATAGAACTTTCTCGAAACCTGAGATCTAAAATGCAATAATGATGTTAAGAGCAAATAAAAAAATTAATTTAGCAAAACAACTTTCAACTTCAGTCTTAGGAAGTTGATGTTTATTCAGTTTTCACGGTCGACTTCACTGATTGTACAGAGCAGCGAAACAAGTGGCAGGGCTCTTCGTATCCTCTTTGGTTGTCATGGCAACCAGGTACCTGTCCTGCGAATCGGCCGAGTGGTCTTGGAAGAAGAGTGAACAAATGTATCCCTTCTGACTCCAATCTTGAATCCATTCCACTCGCTCAAAGTCGTTTGTGAACCATTTGTAAACCTGTTTGTTTCCAATCAAGCAAAGTATTTCTACGTTATTTTTTTGAAACTAAAAAAAAACTTTTACAAATTTGTTCTAGTCGCGTCACCACCGAAACGTAGTTTTGAACCAAATGAAGTCAATTTACGGCATCATCGCACGCTGAAAACAGAGCGCATGCCAAAAACGCAATTCTCCTATATATTAAGTTCATTTCTCAAAAAATACGTCTGGGGTTAAAAATGCTTGAAATTTGGTCTAAAAAAGTGCTTCCAAAAAACTTGTAAGAACTCTTCTTGCTAACTACAAAAATGTCAACAATTTAAAAGCAGTCTGAAAGAACATCAAAAAAATCTGATCTCCCGTAATTCTTAATAATTGACTGTTATTGGCTCATCGAAATACTCTGCTCCAGTGAACTTTCCTGGCTTTCCGATGTTTTAGTCATGACGACCAAGAATTTTTTCTTTCCCTTGTTATAACACATCGAAGTTATAACAAATCCCTTGCTATAATAATCCGCAACCTTCTCACTCAAATTATCCGACTGAGAAAATGTCGGATTCATCAACACGACTTGTTCTCGGTTTTCAAACTCGGGAACTCCGCTTGAAAGAACGAAGTAAAACTTAGATTTACAGGCTGTGCACGAGGTAATTGCCATGTTTCTCCACGTAATGTCATCGGGATCGTCAATTTTCAAGACAACTTGGCTGTCGCCGAAGCCTTCAATTGAATACGCGTAGAATCTTTTGGTTGATTCATCGGCTTTCAAAGAGTAAATAAATTTTCTGCAATGAACGTCTGATTTATATACTTGAAAAAAGTCAGCATAGCCGGCGCTTTCCCAGTAAAGTTTTTCGGAGGAATTGTACTTCTGGTCTGAAGCAAAAACAGCAGCTAGATATCCGTCGCGAATGCTCTGGGAAATGAGAATATTTCTGTAATCGTAAGTGTGGTATTTGATGAATTCGGCGTAGTGAACCTTTCCAAATATTCGGACGGTTGGGTAGTCTGGCTGGGAGCCTCGGCTGAAAAGGGGTTCCGTTACGGGTCTTCCTTTAGTCAATTTCTTCTCATTTCCTGTCATGTAAAGGGTCAGTTCGCCCCCGTTATCTGGAACAAAATGGACTGAGACTTTTTAAACTAGTTGAACTCAAGTACTTTTAGACTGGTGCTGATCCAAAACATTACCGGGGTTGAAGAATCGACTGTCACGTTAAAAGCTGTTTGAAGTTTAGTAATCTTAGACACGTTGATCTAAAATAATACCGAGGGGGGATGGTTTGTTACAAAAAACGAGCCAAATGTTACCCAAAACGATGCCAAAAAAAAGAATCCATGAGCTTGAATCTATGAGATAGGCATCTAACCTCTATTATCAAACGCCGACTGATCTGGCTTGCATGCCGACAGACACTCGAAACCATCGATGCCTTTCCGGATACAAAAATCAGCCCAAGTTCCGCTGTAACATGCGTCACTGCAAATTGTCGGATAAGCCATGCCCTCGGGAACCATCTCCAAAATTTCATCAACTCCGATAGTTCCGTCGGTAAAACACCAGTTACCTGTAGGCATTTCCCCGTGACCCGAATAGTAGAGCATCGGCTTAAAATCATTTTCCAGACAAAACTGGAAAAAACTCGTGATGTGATTGGCGACCTCCGCTTTGGTAATTTCGAGGTTTTGAATTTTGTTCTTCAATGTGTGACCAACCGATCTTTCTATGTTGAACAAATCCAAACTAATACCCTGTAAATATTTCCCACTTTTTTCTCCCTTCGCTTCTCGTTTTCGACCCATAGAGATGTGAACTTTTTCGGGCGGGTGGCTTGACCCGGCGATTAACAGCCATCGTCGCTGTTTGGTTGTAGGACTCCAGTCATTAATATTGCTGATTTTTCCAGCATTTTGTTTGATCGCAGATCCAGCGAATACTTTAGAAGACATTTTGAATTAACAACGATTAATAAGTAAATAGTTGGATGGTTTTTACACCATTTTGGTGATGGTTCAGTGAACAAAACAAGTAATACAAGAAACACGTTCTATTTACTGAGCTTAAAAGAGACTATAATGAATACTTATTGTAAAACACACATTGTGTTCAAATTTCCCGTGTTTTCGTCATATTATAGGTAGAAACTCATATTGTAATTAGAAAACGGAGCCGCCAATAATTTGAACTTTCTTTCGTCACAATTTTTTATGCTCCAATAAATTCACGGCGGAAGCCTAGAAACTGTATATGGTTAGAAAAATATTAATTCAAATAGAAGTCAAGCTATACATTTTTACCTGAAGACAGTTTTGAGCTGACTAAAGTTTAAAATGGAAATCAGCAAAAAAAAACATTAAAAAACATCAAAAATGAACATCAAACCAGCATATTATGAGCAATGCTAGGCCAAACTAGGCCAATATTTAAGAAAAACGGACAAATATTTGACAAAAGGAGCAAATATGGTAAAAGAAAACGTGACTTAACTCTCAATTCATCACACAGAGGCGAAGCGGAGATTCGCGCCACTTGCGGTAAAAAAACATAAGTCGAAAAAAGTTTTAAAATTACGAAAAAATAAAAAAAAAATAGGTCTGTCAAAATTTTACTTTTCTCAATATATCTCGTTAAATTCATTTGAGACAAAAACCTCAGAAACTTGAACACTAAATTAGCAACGGAAGAAAACTTACAAAGACTTTAAAATAGACGACAATAAACTTTGCGTAGACACAAGTTGATGAAAAAAAAGTAATTATACAAAAAATCTTTTAGGCCTCAAGTCCCACCTGAAACTTTAATTAACTTAAACTTGCAATGAATGTTGCTTAAGTTACAAACAAACTCTGTGATGTGGCAACTTAGCTGACAAAGCTTTAGCAGACAAATAAAAGTCCAATACATTTTAAACGAATTTTTTTTTTCAATTGCATAAAAACTCAAAAAAAAACAAAGTCAGGCCAAGTCACTTAGGGTGCAAAGGAGACGGCGCTACACTTAAGCCGGTTGGGAGGGAGCCTGAAAAATGTAGGATTTAAGATTAAAGACACAGAGGTGAAGCGATGACACAAAGTAGCATTGCAAGCTAGCAGACAGGAAAGGAAATGAGAGAAACCAAGTCCAAAGAAAACGAAAGTCTAAAAAACTTCAAAATGTTGTCTGAACTGATGTTTTAATTGAGGAAAAACTTCCAGAAACGAATTCGATACCTTTTATTGAAAAGACAAAAACATTTATAGAGCGGTTAAAAAAATGTTGTCTTGAAAAACTTTAAACTATAAATTCTATTCAGAGATTTTTAACGTTTTGTGCAATCCGGAGGGAAGCAGGCAAAAGATTGTTCTCCCAAACTCCACAAACTTAGGCTAGTAAGCCGATAAAAAACGAGCCATAATCAATTAGGCCGTATCAATTATAATCAAACTTAAAAAAAAGAAATTATACGAAGTCAAGGTTAGTAGAATTACAAATTGCAGGAGTAAATGAAAAAACAAAACTTTAGAACAATGAACACTGCATGCCGCGAAAAATGCTAAAATTTGATAACTAAGCCGACAAATCATAAGCCGACAATTTTTTTTCCAAAATGGAATATTTCCCGTTTGAAAAAAAAAAACAGGTACTGCTCAGATTCCCACCGAGGACCTTTGCTGTCCCAAGCGTATTCGTTACCTCCAGAATAAACAGATACGCTTAGAAATTTGAACTCATTTTGAAACAGTTTACCAAGTGATTCTGTTAAACATGCTGTCAACCCGAAAAAAGTTTATATTCCGATCTAACACAGCTTGCTAATCGCAAGCGTAAACAATAATAATTACTCCGGCATTTAAAAAAAAACACCAACTAAAGCAAACATGCCTTGGAAAAAGAGTTTTAGTTTCACACTACTTGCCATAACAAAAGTGGTACAACACAAAAGTAGCATGGCAAACTAACTGACAGAAAATAAGACAAAACGCAGAAAAAAAATGATCTAACAAAATTTTTACATAGAGGCGAAGCTACACTTAGCAAAAACTAGCAAGAAAACGGCAAAAAGCAGCCCTAAAGATCTGAAAAGTGCAATATCAAAAAGTAAAAGAAGATTCAGATTAGTCAGAATTCGGTGACGTCCCGGACTCGAACCTACGATCTACTGAAATCTAGAAGTTATGCGTTTCACGCACTAACTAATCAGCCACGGACGATTATTCCATCACAAACACTAGCCATAAATAAAGCTGAGAACAGATGCTACGAAATTTCCAACGCTACAGATCGTGATTATAGCAAAAAAGCATACAAGTGTTTTTAAATAACACTTTGTTTGCGAGTTAATTTAGAAAAAAAAGAAGGTTCGTACTAAATAACTAGCTGCTCGCTAGCGTAATAATTTGTGCTGATTTTCTTTAAGAAATCGTTCCTAAAAACACGCCAATTAAGGCAACTTATTTTAATTGACCGTCGAAACAAAACGTAAAATGCGGTAACAAAGCTGACATAACCTGCGCCGATATGTTGAGCCAAAAAAAATATAAAAAAAAGTTTAAAAAAACCCATAAAATATTCAAAATAATGTCTCTTCTCAATACATCTAGACAGCAACCTTTTTTGATAATCAAACGACTAAAAATGATGCCGCTAAAAAGTTTTTCTGTGAGTTGGCAAAACTAAAGAATTGGAAATGACCGCCAATTTGAGTCATCCTTTGAACAAAGTTATTTAGGTAAAAAGTAGGTTGCAACACGCTGGCTGCTCGCAAGGATAAAAATAAATTTCAACTAGTCAAATGAGACAACCAGAGTTTATGATCTCAGCGATAACATCAATGATCAGTTAAATGTTTTCGACATTCTTCACCAGTACACTGAAAAATGACGAAATTGTACAAATTAAAAGTACTGGTAAACTAAAATTTAGGTATGATTCCAAGATAAAACAATCATGTTTATTAGATTTACACTTTTATTATTGCCAGTTTTGGGCATAGTTTCCCCAGGGCAAAATTTAAAAAAAAACATTTAAAGATTATGATTCTACTCGAAGTAAAATCAATTTTTGAAATTGATCTGAAATCTTTTTTTTTTGCTCCAATTCAATTTGAAACTTAAAATTACAATGAAAGATTAAATAAAATACTAACAAATTATCAAACGGCAAGTGAGCTAACTTGCAGACTTAAAAAACAAGCCTTAAAAATTCAATTTATTTACTCGTTAAACAATCAATTAAAAATTAAACGGAGTTCTGCGCAATTATCATTATTCAAATTAGCAATGCAAAATAATCAAATTATACGAAATTATACGCAGATTCGGTTTTCTCGAGAAATCATTTGACGCGGCAAAGGGAACTTCTTCAAAATGTTTTTCATTTGAAACCTGAATTTCAAAATTTGTATACGAAGTTATAGTATAAAATTATCCTTTAAAAAACGTTTCCTAGAAAAATCTACGTTTAGACAATGAGAAAGTGTAACGAGAAAGTTGAATTGGAGCAAAAAAGATTTTAGATCAGTTTCAAAAATCGACTTCATTTTCCAAGAATTCTAAATGCAAAGCACAAACTTTCTAAGCGTCCATAAATGAAAAAAAAATTGCCGTGACCTTAACAGTTCTAAAGTTTGCCATCATTTTAACAATGAAAATGCGCTGATGTTAAAAAATCACAAGTCAAACCACGAAAAATCAAAATTGAGCGTGAACTAAAGAAAAATATTTAAAAAATTTTAAGAAAAAAAATTACACTGAAATGAAAAAATCACCAAGACCTGTATAAAAGTACTCATTACGTTCATTACTCTTAATAAATGCCAAAGTTTGATTACCTTACAGGTTGAAGATTTATATAAAATTATCACCTTTTTGATTAAAACATCCTGATTTTGGAAACCTGGATCATGGAAATGCGCTAATTAATGGAAATGTGCTGATCTTAGAAAAAAAAATTTTAACCATGTAAATGCGCTGAACTTAACAGCAAATCACAAGTCAAACCGCGAGAAATCAAAAATGAGCGTGAACTAAAAAAAATTAAAAATTTCACTGAAATAAAAAAAAATCACCAAGACCTTTATAAAATTACTCTTTATGTTAATTACTCTGAAAAAATTCTTGAAATTGATCACCTTTTAGTTTAAATAAATATAAAAATTATCATCTTTTTGATTTAAAAAACGCCCTGATCTTGGAAAACCTGGATTATTCATCATTTTTTTTACCTTGAGTATTTTAAAAACTAAATTATTTTTTCGAAAACAAAAACCTGCGCGTTTTTCCTGGCCATTTGTCTTCCATTGAATCTTAAGTGAGTTTCAAAAACAGAGGCGAAGCGAAGCTTGGCACCACTTGCGATACAATACACTGACCCGACACGCATCGCTGAGAAATTTCCATAAATAATTTAAGGTTGACAGCAGACATCGGTTGATCATAGTGTCGATAGACGACATCGTTCGACCCAAACGGTCGATACATAATTCGACCACCTGTATCAGGGTTTATGTTAATTCTGCCCGATACTCTTGTAAAAAAATGTTTCATCGCAGCTCAACCTAGCTTTATCTCAAACTTTAGAAAGCAGCTAAAAACTAAGATAATTAAAGGCGTTAATTCACATATTTCTCGTTTAAACTAATTTACAATTTAATAATTAAGATTTGTAAATCATTATTCACTCTAAAAATTCTGTTAAATTAAAAATAGGCTCAAACGTAAAGAGTTGTGATGGAAAATATTAGAGAATCAGTTCATTAAGTTAAATGGAGGTCGCCTCTTGAACTCTTAGCCGATATTCTACCAGCCGAAGATTTCTCTCGCACAAAATCGTGGTCGAATAATTTCAAGTCAAGCGTGACCGAATTCTTCGAAGATGACTCGTTAGGCGTATTGCTGCTGTTGTTGCTACTTCCAATAGTGTTCGAGTTAGACTGTAACAGCTTTGGGTGTTGTGATTGGCTATTAAAAGTAGGAGGCTGTTTCGGACGTGACTTGCCGAATGTCGAAACTTGAGGCAGGGGTTCCTTTTCAGAGTTCCCAGTGGGGTAAAAAGTGGTCGGACTGGTTATTCCCGAGTTCGACACTGTCGTGCTTATGTCTCCCACATTTGGACTTAGTCTCTGTGACTGATTTGGTTGAGCTTTCTGGTGAATATTAGGCGAAGAAGATAATTCTTTAGTAGCTTGATTTGGGCTATTCTTTTGGTGGTTCACATTGCGCATCAGCGTCGCGTGACTCGACTGCGAACCTGGATAAAGTACCGTTGGTCCATTGACATCGGCGAACCTCGGTGACCCTTTTCCATTTCTGGGTGACCCTATTGAGAGGTCATTGGGAGAGGTCAACTCCTGCTGGGGTTGTTGGGAGGCGGCGGACACCATGGAGTGCATGGGTATGTAACTAGAGTTGTTTGTGTTGTTGCCAGATCCGAATAACTGGTTCAGTTTGGACTCGGATGGTTTGCTGGATCCAAATGGGTAAGTTGAGGGCACGTATGATACTCCACCATCGCCATTTCCTCGGCTGCTCTTGTTCTAAAAAGGAGGAGATATCAATTTCGAATACAACGATCTTTAACTTCGCTAACATAGGCAAAAAAAACGAACACGACGCCCTAGTCGATCAAACAATGTTATCTCTGATTCTTGCAAATGAGGGTTATCTTGTCAGCTCCTGCAAGAATGAGAATATCTTGGAAGAATTCTTGGAAGAATCTTGAAGCATTATTGCCAGATCTTGCAAAATAACCTACTATGAAGTTTTCACAAAAATATATTCTGAGCGCAAGAAAAACACCATGGAGATCCAATTTCACTACGGTCACAAAAAATTTGTAGTTTGAATTCGGATAAGAAATTAGGTTCACCAAGTTATAAAAAAAGTTTATTTATGCTCAGTTTTCAGCTTTCGTAATGTAAAAAGATTCAGTGGTTATAATTTATGCATTTGTTTAAGATTTCCAAAAACATTTTTGAAATTATATTGGAATAAATCATTTAGTTTGATAACTCTAGTGGTTAAAACTTAAATTATCGTTATTTGTGTCAAAGTTTTGATCAGTTGAGTTAATCAGATGGAGATATTTTGTATGTTTTGTTCATATAGATACGACATACATTAGGTTTATCGTATCAAGCGCTTAAAAGTTTCTTTTGGTGGTTTGTTTAAAAATTTAAATGTAACCACAACACAAACGCTTTAGGTTGTGTACGCCCGTAAATCTAATATAATATAATTTGATTACATCAAGGAAGTTTTTTGACCAATAAATTGAGACACAATTTATTGTCGATGTATTATTCGAACGCTTCGTAATACAGATGAATTCGCCGCGCTCAAATCTGTCAAACTTACACGTTCAGCATCATAGATGAAAGCTTAAAAGCGCATAATTTAGTCCGGTAGATTGACACTCTCATACCTCCATGAAAATTGAATACAGGCAACAGACAGCTGGAAAAGAGTCAATAAACGCAAGTAAACAAAATAAATGCTTTGTTTTTTAAAAAAATCAACGAAAAAAGTTAGATACCCTTAAGCCTTTTTGAATTTCAAGAACAACTAATGATTGACACTTTTTTTTACAAGATAAAGTGACAAGATCAAAACCATGTAGGAAAAAATTATTCCTTTTGATGATATTAATGACTTGTTTAAAGAGAACTGTTGACAAGCTTTCTTAATTCTCTCTATATACTTTCCATGCCTATTTAAACTTCAAAATAGCATGAAATTTTTTTTTTCGGTGACTTGCTAATGCTCAATTTAGTTCCAAAATGCTACAAGCCCACTTCCTGCAATTTGTGCACTTGAAGTGAACAACGCCTATGATCATCAGGGCGTGACTTGATATGATTTCATACATGAATCACCTGCAGGTTGTTTCATACTCGTGCCAAGATCCTGCCATGTAAAAGACAGGGCCTAATGATGTCGCAGTGGGTAATAATTAAGGTACAATTCATGTCTATTCTTCACTAAAGTTAAATTCATTTCTGACATCAGTTCTATTATAAAAAAAGCCAACAGACAGTTGCATAAGTGTTCATAAAGCTGAAAACAATTATTGATTTTTTTTGCATTTTCAATAAAACAGTCAGTTGACAGTTGGAAAAAAGAAATGAACGCAAGGAAACCGAAAGAAAAATGACTTGTTTTTTGAAACTTAAAATGCGAATTTTAAACAAGAAAATATATCCTCTTAAAGCTCTTTGAATTTCACGAATGTTTGAACCTTTTCTTGATAAAACTAACCCAATTTGAGAAAACTAGACCAATCGTTAAACTTTTAATTCCGCTGGGAAATCTGAACATTTAAAGCCACTTTCGAAACTAGAAGTCGATCACATTTTAAATGATTTTTACACAATTGCTGTTCGATAGTGGAGTTTGCGTGCCTTTTACACAGAAGCGAAGATGCGCTTCGCAACACAAGCGAGGAAAATGGAAAAAAGAGCTCTAAACACGCAAAACAAAGTGAAATAAGGCAAAAGATTCCTGAGATTAGGAGTATAACGTTCTCACATCTGCTTAACGATCGCTTGTAATTTTACTAACACTAGCCACCAATAAAGCAGCTACAGTTTCTATCAAATTGCCAATGGTATGAAGCAAAAATTCGACCCAAAAAGGATTAGACTTGTTGATTTGGAGTGCCACGTCCAGGCATCTGCGCCGCGATTCCTTGGAAGTAACCTAGTGGCTCAGCTAATGCTGGATTCGCCTGTTTTAATATTTCAATCACATTGTACTGATACGAAAATGCGTAAATTTTATAATTTAAAAAAATGGACTTTACGCAAAATCCTAGTGATTTCTCTGCTTCAGTAGGGAATTAGCCGCTTGTTTAAAAAATAAAACTACTACAATCTCTTTCAAGGAAATTCTTTCTCTCAAATTTGGCCGGGTAGTTTGCGAAAAAAGTGAAAAAGATTCCAAAAAATCATCAAAAATTCAAAATTTGACTTTTCCTAAATCCATTATTTTTTCTTTTTTAAAGCATGGGAATAACCTCTTATGCAGGGAAGATTTCCACGCCATAATTTTTAGACTGAGCCCTTATTATGAGATTTAGCTAGTACTTTTGAGAAAAAAAGATGAAACTTCTAAAAAAAATGGTAAGAATTTCATAAAATGGATTTTTTTCGAAGTCCATATCGGCTTTTCTACAAATAAGTAGGGTGTAACAGATTACGCAGGCAAAAAATTGGGACCATGAATCAACCTCAGTGGGTTAGTTTTCAAAAAAAATTTCCAAAAAAAAACAGTCAACATCTCAAAAATTGGACCTTTTCTAATGCCAATTTTTTTTTCAAATTGTAATGCATAGGCTCTTGCGTAAAGAAGAGTCGCATAATTTTTTGTTCGGTCAATCCCTTAATCTCAATTTTCGCAGGGTAGTTTTTGAGAATTAAAATGTCAAAAAATGGGTATGCTTGAGGCCATAACTTTTTTCTACCGAATTTAGGGAATAGCCGCTTGAGAAGGAAAGATCCCAATGAATTGTTTTTTTTATTGAAAATTTCAACTCAGATTTGTCCTTTTAATATTTGAGAAAATGAAAAAAAAAATCAAAACAAATAGGTCAAAAATCCCTCTACTCTAACTTTCGAAGGCCGTAGAACATGGGGTAAAATGAAACGAGACCAGCGAAATATACAGGCACATAAAAGAGCAGCCAATTTTTCCATCGGTACCCATTTCTTTGAAAATCACTACAGTAGTTTTTGAGAAAAATTGAAATTTCTGGGGAAAATGCAAAAATTTTCGTGAGCGTCGCAATAAACAACGAATCGCATACATTTTCTAAGTTGCTGCTTCATAATAAATGAAGCAGCAACAAATGCTGTTAAATCGTCTATGCTTAAATAAACTTCAAAATGATCAAATTATAATATACCAAAAGTGCTACCAAATGAGCACTTTTATTTGCGACTTAGGTTGGAGAAAAAATTATTTGTAATAAAACACTACGCTTCGCTTGCATAAAAAATGGAACTGAATTGAACTTAAAAAGAAATTAAAGTCAAACCGCGAAAAATCAAACTTCTGAGTGAACAAATGTTAGGACTTTTTGCAAAAAAAAACAAAAAAATCATCAAAACCCATATAAGAGTACTCACGACGTTCATTGACTCTAAAAACGAAATCCATGTTTGTTATTTACGGATTTTTTTTGTGCCAATTGCAGATTCGTAATTGGATAGCGTTTGTTTCAGCAAATAAAATTGAATTAAAATTGTCAGAAAATTTCGAGTTGAGCGCGACCAAATTCAAGGACTTTGCCTGGAAAAAAGGCATAAATGAGTGTCTTTACTTCATTCATTGACAATATATACATTTAAAAAGCCCGTTATAACAAAAAAAAACTCACTTTGACCACAGTCCTCCACCGGTCGAATGCAGCCCTGGCTACCACCTCCTCCCTCTCCTGTTTGCCATAGTGTCTCTTGTAGGCCATCTCGATGAAGATGAGCACCACACCGGCCACTATGCCCCCACCCACTAACATGAACACCCCTGTCAACAAAAAAGAAAATCACACTTCAGATCATCGGATAGAGTTATACTCAATTACAGTTCCATCAACAACACATTAAATAATACGTATTAACAAATTTTGCCTCCGCATTCAAACATTTTTATATCAAAGATAATCAAGAGCTCTTACATATTATTCGTGAAATTGCATATTTTTGAGCCAATGAATCTATTTGAACAATCAACATGACCAAATTTCAAACTATATGCCAATGCCTATTTAAATGAATTCAATATTCAACAAGGATAGCCGACTGCTGGGCCAGTATCACAGAACGTTCCGACCAAACTCACAAAAAGTGTCGGTTCTTCGTAGTCATCAAAAATAACTAGCGTGTAACGCACCTCCGGTGCTTCGAATTTTCAACAACTCATAGAAAACCGCATATTTCAAAAATAAGATCTACACCCTTTGAGTGTACCCTGACAGCACCCAATTACAGGGTTGGTAGTTTCAAATTTTGCAAAGTTTTTTTTATCAAGTTCGTTTAATTAATACTTTTGAAAAGATCATAAAAAACGTCATATCTCGGAAACTACAAGAATTGAGAAGTGAGATTTGGAAACAAGATTCGCAACCCCTGATACTACCCTGACAGCCCCCAACTACAGGGTTGCGATTTTCAAACTTTCAGAAAGTTTTAATTAAGTTTTCTATAAAATTTCGAAAATTGCCATATCTCGTAACCTAAACGGATTTGGTTATTCATATATAGAGGCCAAAATCGCAACACCCGGGGAAACACTGACAGCATCCCATTATTGGATTTCTAATTTCAAAATTGATGAAATAAACACTGGATTCAAACAGGTAAAATCGAAAAAACCGTTAACCATTGCAATATACGATATAGCTTGAACGTGAAACAATTCTTTAAACATGCAAAAATAACACGTTGAAAAAGCTTAAACATGGCGAGATAGTGAAACCCGCATTAAAATATATAATGGATTAATTAAAAAAAATTTCTTCTAAAATTTAGAAGAATTTTATTGCGCTTAATTAATCTTTTAAAATTTCAAATCGGTTTTTCTCAACAATGGGGCAGCTTTTTGAACAATTTTTAATGTCGTTCGAATCAAGGCTAAAAGGCCTCTAATATGATACATTACTCGACCCATTCCGATGGTTATTTATGGTACTTGATTTTGCGTGGAAAAGAAAACAACTAAATTGACTGTTTGGTAAAACTAACTGTTTTGAAAACGCTTAGTTAATCAAATTTGAGAAAAGTGAATCAATAGGTCAATTTTTTCATTACGCTTCTAAATTGACATACATTCATGAAAATAGAAGTCAATCAAGTTTTTCGTGATTTTTGCAATTTGCTGTTCGATAGTTGATTTTGCCTTCCATTTAACATATCCAACAGACAAATGAAAAAGAGACATTGAACGCAAGCAAACAAAAAATACTGGCTTGTAATTTTAGTCAGATGTCATCAATTGAATTGCCAAAATTGCCAATTATCGATCGATGGAGCACGACACAGTAAACGTTTTTCGCGACCTTTACAAGTTTGCTGTTCGATAGTTGAAATTGCCTTCTTTTTAGCAACAGAAATGCACTGAACTTAAAAAGAAATCACAAGTCAAACCGCAAGAAATCAAAATTGAGCGTGAACCAATTTTAAGACTTTTTCCTGAAAAACAGCACTACGTTCATTACTCTTAAACACTAGTCAAAAACACCACAAATAAAGCAGAGAACAGATGCTATGCAATTTCCAATGCTACAAAGAAATTCCCTAACAAATGAAAAAAAGAAGGTTCGTAATAATACATTAAGCTGCCGCAAGTGTAAACAAATGGTTATATTGAAATTCACTGATTGTATTGTTGTTTGAAACAAATAAGTTTTTTCGGTTCATTTGATGAAGTATTTGCCACTTAGTTTGTAAAAAAGAATAGTGTCAGTGTCGTGCTATTACACAACACAACTCTCGCAATTGTGATCAACCGACCTACGTTATTTCTAAACATATTGCCGGCATCCATATAAGTAGCACAAAATTCGGAACAAATTTTAACGCCAATATTCGTAATGTTTTTGTTCCGATCAATTTTGAGTGAGAAGAAACTAAGATGGCCTAGGGTGGTTGTGTTCCGCTCAATTTAAAGTTCCTCAAAAAAAGTTCGTAGGGACAAGTCACGTTTGTTCAAGTTTCTACGCATATTGGAAGCTCAGACTGAAAATACACTGCCTCCCGATCTTCAGAGATTCGACTCATAGCTGAACATACATTATTGTTATTTGTGATATTCCCATAGAAACCGGCTTCACTTCCGTCTGAAACTCAAATGTCATGTCAAGAAGTGGAAACACCCCTTCTTTGAAGAATTACCGAGCAGCAAACATGCGCTGCAGCTGTACGAATTAAATTTGACAGTTTAATTGAAGCAAAACCATTTGAAAAATTGGATCTAATTCAAATTTAGCTAACTGTAGTCAAATATCACCAGAAAGAACTCTAATTTTCGCCGCTTAGGCGTTAACCCCACCCCGATTCGGCACAGTGACTACTCAAAAGTTCCCTTCCCTTTGGCACCATTTAATGACATCAGTTTGCTGCCAACCAATCCTTCAAAAGGTCGACAAAACTTTGAGCCAGCTAATAATATACAAAAATATTTAAGTTTTGCTAAGTAATACATTGTCACAGGAAGGACACCAACCTAAGCTTAACAGCTCCTATCTTTACAGTGAAAAACATGTTCGAATTTTGCATGAAACAATTCGAAGGATTGGAAAGCGCAAAGCCAAAATTTGTATATAGAATGCATTTCAAAAACATTGCGAGATATACTCAGTTGAAAAAATTTCTTGAAGACAAGTTTTTACACAGACAAAGTTTCGTTTGGCAAACACTAGCGAAAACACGGCAAAAAGTAGCTCTAGAAAAAGCAATAAGAAAACATAGCCAACTGACAGTTGGAGAAGAGCAATGAACGCAAGAAAACTGAAAAAAAAATCTACTAGTTTTTTTTTAAATCTTCAACTTTTGAATTTCGAATAAAAAAAATAGATGGCCTTGAAGCTCTTTGAATTTGAAGAAAAATTTATGATGGACACTTCTTTGTTAAAGTTAACCCGATTTGAGAAAACTGGATCAATAGCTAAATCTTATATTCCGCTGGGAAATCTGATGATTAATTTCCATTTTCAAAATAAAGTTGATCACATTTTTCGTGACCCTTTACAATTTTGCTGTTCGATAGTGGAGTTTGCCTTCCTTTTAACTATAGAAATGCATTGAACTTAAAAAGAAATCACGTCAAACCGCGAAAAATCAAAATTGAGCGAGAAAAAATTCAACAATTTTTCCTGAACAAAAAAACATCAAGACCTAAATAAGAGTCTTCACTACGTTCATTCCTCTTAAAAATAGAAATAAACCTGGAGTTAGTAAAAAAATTGGCTAAATTCATCTGCGCCCTACTGAAATATAGAGATTTTGAGTTTCACGCACTAACCACTCATCCACGCACGCTTAACCATCAACAAACACTAGTCACGAATAAAGCAGCTACATATGCTAATAAATTGCCAATGCGATTCAACAAAAAGGGCACAAAATAAAAATAGACACAATTTTGCAAGTAATAATTCGGAATATAACAAACTGAAGGCATACACACTAACTTTACATGTAACAAATCGAAAAGTATAAAGCCACATTGTGCATAAACTATGCATTTCAAAAAAATGACATTTATTGCGTTAGAAAATTTCTGAAATCGAGTTTTCATTATAGTCATGTTGTTTAACACAAATAGCGTTTTTCGGTTCATTTGAAGAATAGAAACTGCAGCAACTGTGATAACTTATTAGTATTCGAATGTCAAAGCACATGCTATCAAAAAGCTGTAAAGGTGCCCCAAAATAGGTACCAATATTTGCGACTTAGGTTAGAAAAAAAAATCTTATTATTATACTGAGCTGACGCTAGAGCAATTATTGCACTCTTATTTGAAACAAATAGATTATTTCGGTTCATTTCATCAATTAAAATTGCAAAAACTGTGTTAAAATATTAGTAATCGAATGTCCAAGATCATAAAAAACGTCATATCTCGGAAACTACAAGAATTTGAGAAGTGAAATTTGGAAACAAGATTCGCAACCCCTGAGACTACCCTGACAGCCCCCAACTACAGGGTTGCGATTTTCGAACTTTCTGAAAGTTTTAATTAAGTTTTCTATAAAATTTCGAAAATTGCCATATCTCGTAACCTAAAAGGATTTGGTTATTCATAAATGGAGGCCAAAATCGCAACACCCGGGGAAACACTGACAGCATCCCATTATTGGATGGCTAATTTCAAAATTGATGAAATAAACACTGGATTCAAACAGGTAAAATCGAAAAAACCGTTAACCATTGCAATATACGATATAGCTTGAACGTGAAACAATTCTTTAAACATGCAAAAATAACACGTTGAAAAAGCTTAAACATGGCGAGATAGTGAAACCCGCATTAAAATATATAATGGATTAATTAAAAAAAAATTTCTAAAATTTAGAAGAACTTTATTGCGCTTAATTAATCTTTTAAAATTTCAAATCGGTTTTTCTCAACAATGGGGCAGCTTTTTGAACAATTTTTAATGTCGTTCGAATCAAGGCTAAAAGGCCTCTAATATGATACATTACTCGACCCATTCCGATGGTTATTTATGGTACTTGATTTTGCGTGGAAAAGAAAACAACTAAATTGACTGTTTGGTAAAACTAACTGTTTTGAAAACGCTTAGTTAATCAAATTTGAGAAAAGTGAATCAATAGGTCAATTTTTTCATTACGCTTCTAAATTGACATACATTCATGAAAATAGAAGTCAATCAAGTTTTTCGTGATTTTTGCAATTTGCTGTTCGATAGTTGATTTTGCCTTCCATTTAACATATCCAACAGACAAATGAAAAAGAGACATTGAACGCAAGCAAACAAAAAATACTGGCTTGTACTTTTAGTCAGATGTCATCAATTGAATTGCCAAAATTGCTAATTATCGATCGATGGAGCACGACACAGTAAACGTTTTTCGCGACCTTTACAAGTTTGCTGTTCGATAGTTGAAATTGCCTTCTTTTTAGCAACAGAAATGCACTGAACTTAAAAAGAAATCACAAGTCAAACCGCAAGAAATCAAAATTGAGCGTGAACCAATTTTAAGACTTTTTCCCGAAAAACAGCACTACGTTCATTACTCTTAAACACTAGTCAAAAATACCACAAATAAAGCAGAGAACAGATGCTATGCAATTTCCAATGCTACAAAGAAATTCCCTAACAAATGAAAAAAAGAAGGTTCGTAATAATACATTAAGCTGCCGCAAGTGTAAACAAATGGTTATATTGAAATTCACTGATTGTATTGTTGTTTGAAACAAATAAGTTTTTTCGGTTCATTTGATGAAGTATTTGCCACTTAGTTTGTAAAAAAGAATAGTGTCAGTGTCGTGCTATTACACAACACAACTCTCGCAATTGTGATCAACCGACCAACGTTATTTCTAAACATATTGCCGGCATCCATATAAGTAGCACAAAATTCGGAACAAATTTTAACGCCAATATTCGTAATGTTTTTGTTCCGATCAATTTTGAGTGAGAAGAAACTTAGATGGCCTAGGGTGGTTGTGTTCCGCTCAATTTAAAGTTCCTCAAAAAAAGTTCGTAGGGACAAGTCACGTTTTTTCAAGTTTTCACGCATATTGGAAGCTCAGATTGAAAATGCACTGCCTCCCGATCTTCAGAGATTCGACTCATAGCTGAACATACATTGTTATTTGTGATATTCCCATAGAAACCGGCTTCACTTCCGTCTGAAACTCAAATGTCATGTCAAGAAGTGGAAACACCCCTTCTTTGAAGAATTACCGAGCAGCAAACATGAGATGCAGCTGTGCGAATTAAAATTATGACAGTTTAATAGAAGCAAAACAATTTGAAAAACTGGACGTAATTTAAACTTAGCTAACTGTAGTGAAATATCACCAGAAGGAACTACAATTTTTGCAGCTTAGGCGTTAACCCCACTCTGATTCGGCACAGTGACTACCCAAAAGATCCCTTCCCTTTGGCACCATTTAACGATATCCATTTGCTGCCAACCAACCCTTCAAAAGGTCGACAAAACTTTGAGCCAGCTAATAATATACAAAAACATTTAAGTTTTGGTAAGTATTACATTGTCAGGAGGGACACCAACCTAAGCTCAACAGCTCCTATCTTTACAGTGAAAAACATGAACCCCTTTTAATCCTATCATCCACACTGCGCTCCTTCTGAACTGACCTGCCATATTTTCCAGCCCCAAAGTGGCCGGTTGGGAGTCGCTGTTGTCACAGGTCTTCAATTTCATCCACTTGTTGTCCAGAGTCTCCATGAATCCGTCCTCGTGGAACTGGAGGATCTCCAGGGATATCTGCTCCTTCCAGGCACTGTCTTTAGCCATGCCTATTCCATAGCCACTTCTGTGGAACATTTCGCCCACAGTCACCAGAGAACAGTCCCTGGAAGTCTCGTAGTCCAGAACTGCAGAGTCCCAAATGAACGCATCCAGGTCACTGAAACAGAGGACATTTTTGTATTAACAATCCCGTTTCTCTTTAACACCTTGAATTTAATTTAGAAACGACGTTTACATTGGCAGACTTTTATTTTCCCCATTTCATCAGTTTATTCAAAACAAGCAATAACTTTTTTTTCAAATTTAGCTTTTGTAGATTTTAATTTGTAGCTTTTAAAATGTAGATTCAAAATGTAGATTTTAATTTAGCTTAAGAGCTTTACACTAAGTCAGTGAAGGGTCAAAGAGGTGCAAGTGATTTTTTGAACCTTTTCAGTCTAAAATAAATTGGCACTCAAAAATTTGATGTGAACAAATAGATTTTTCCAAATCTTAATATAATAGTGATAACATTTTCAAATTATTTAACAAAAAGCTACCTATTTAGGTAGCTTTTTGTTAAATAATTTGAAAATGTTATCACTATTATATTAAGATTTGGAAAAATCTATTTGTTCACATCAAATTTTTGAGTGCCAATTTATTTTAGACTGAAAAGGTTCAAAAAATCACTTGCACCTCTTTGACCCTTCACTGACTTAGTGTAAAGCTCTTAAGCTAAATTAAAATCTACATTCAGAACCTGTAAATAATGAATGTTACATTTTAACCCTTTCCGAATTGAATCAAATAAGCATGTCAAGTGAAATTGAACAGTCAAAGACTAACCAGCTACCCCAACCGATAAGTAATAACACTTAATAAACACTCAGACTTAGAAGACCACGCCCCATAAGACAATAAAACCTATAAGAATTCCGTCGTTTCATTTTCTACTTCATTCCATAGAGAATTGTTCACTGTATGATGCTGGAACACTTAATGAAAACCTTTTTGGGGCAATAAAGTTTTATGAGATATGCCGGTGGCATGTCCACGGGCCGAAAGCTCAGATTGCCGAAACTATCAAGTCTGTCATGTTGCCAAAAATTAAGGAATTAAGTGACTAGGTTGGCTATATCCTTCCAAGTGTTGAATAATTGTCGCTCGTAATTTTTTTTATATCGAGTCCTTCACCAGCTGAGGCATGGCTGCTTGGAACCTTAATTAAGCCTTACTCTTGTTTAGATTAGACAGCAATTTTTTTAAAAAATTTAAAGATATTAAATGCCCGCATTACACACAGAGTCAAAGCTGCGCTTCGCAAACACCAGCGGAAAAAACGCCAAGAGCTATCATTGAAAGGGTCAAAAAGAAAATAAAATGAAAAAAAAAAAACTAATGAAAGACAACCGAGAAAACCGCAAAAAGGAGCTTCAAATTGCCCAAAAACAAAAATTTTGCATTTAATAATTTTGGAGGTAATTCAAATTTTTGAAGATCAGGCAATAAAAGACATTTTAAGGCGCATTCACCCCTGAAAATTAGTATATATTGACGATTTTAAACTTTGTGGGTCGGTTAGCCAAAAATGGATGTAATAAATGAGTACCAAAGAAATTCTTCGGGTGGCCAGCGTATTGAATCCCTGAGATTGAATGGGGGTAGTGTTTGTCCAAATTCTAAATACACTACTGAATAAGTCGATAATTTAATAATAACACAGAGCATAGCTGGGCTTCACAAAAACTAGCGAAAACACGACAAAAAAGCAGCTTTATAAAGTGAAATAAGAAAAAGTAGAAACACGCCTCGAATTAACAAAAGCTTTGCTACGTTTCGGACTCAAAGCTGTGACCTCGAGATTGAGAGTCTAACGCCCTGCCCTCTTGGGCACGAACGCTGAAATATCGGCAAACACTAGTCACAAATAAAACGGCTACATATGCTGATAAAAAGCCAAAGCGATGCAGGAAAAGTGGCACCAAATATAGAAAGACACAATTTTGCATGAAACAATTCGAAGGATTGGAAAGCGCAAAGCCAAAATTTGTATATAGAATGCATTTCAAAAACATTGCGAGATATAATCAGTTGAAACAATTTCTTGATATCAAGTTTTTACACAGACAAAGCTTCGCTTGGCAAACACTAGCGAAAACACGGCAAAAAGCAGCTCTAGAAAACGCAATAAGAAAACATAGCCAACAGACAGTTGGAGAAGAGCAATGAACGCAAGAAAACTGAAAAAAAAATCGACTTGGTTTTTTTAAAAATCTTCAACTTGTGAATTTCGAATAAAAAAATTTATGATGGACACTTCTTTGCTAAAATTAACCCAATTTGAGAAAACTGGATCAATAGCTAAAACTTATATTTCGCTGGGAAATCTGATAATTAATTTCGATTTTCAAAAAAAAAGTTGATCACATTTTTCGTGACCCTTTACAATTTTGCTGTTCGATAGTGGAGTTTGCCTTCCTTTTAACTATAGAAATGCATTGAACTTAAAAAGAAATCACGTCAGACCGCGAAAAATCAAAATTGAGCGTGAACAAATTCAAAACTTTTTCCTGAAAAAAAATCATCAAGACCTATATAAGAGTCTTCACTACGTTCATTCCTCCTAAAAATAGAAATAAACCTGGAGTTAGTAAAAAAAAATTGGCTAAATTCATCTGCGCCCTACTGAAATATAGAGATTTTGAGTTTCACGCACTAACCACTCATCCACGCACGCTTAACCATCAACAAACACTAGTCACGAATAAAGCAGCTACATATGCTAATAAATTGCCAATGCGATTCAACAAAAAGGGCACAAAATAAAAACAGACACAATTTTGCAAGTAATAATTCGGAATATAACAAACTGAAGGCATACACACTAACTTTACATGTAACAAATCGAAAAGTATAAAGCCACATTATGCATAAACTATGCATTTCAAAAAAATGACATTTATTGCGTTAGAAAATTTCTGAAATCGAGTTTTCATTATAGTCATGTTTTTTAACACAAATAGCTTTTTCGATTGTTTGATGAACAAAAACTGCATCAACTGTGCTAACTTATTAGTATTCGAATGTCAAAGCACATGCTATCAAACAGCTGTAAAGGTGCCCCAAAATAGGTACCAATTTGCGACTTAGTTTAGAAAGAAAATGCTTATTATTAAACTGAGCTGACGCTAGAGCAATTATTGCACTTATATTTGAAACAAATAGATTATTTCGGTTCATTTGATCAATTAAAATTGCATCAACTGTGTTAAATTATTAGTAATCGAATGTCCAAGCACATTCTATCAAAAAGCCGGAAAGGTGCCACCAAATTTGGCACCAACTTTGTTGAGACGCTTTTAAGTAACTTAAAAATTTTGTTTAGTCTTTCTCAAAAAGTCGAAAGAGAGTACCAATAGCAGGCCTTAAGCAAGTAGAGTCAGTTGATGTGCATAATAAAATCTCATGATAGTTATCAAAGTAAAGTAATAAAAACCAGGAAACAATAATTTCAACCTGTAAGGATGAGGCGCTTAGAGCTAAAACAACGTTTAAAACTCAGTAAAACTAGGCATCCATTTCTACACAAAGAGGAAGCTGCGCTTCGCAAACACTTGCAGGAACACGACCAAAAAGCAGCTTTATCAAGTGAAATAAGAAAAAGTAGAAATTGGCCTCGAATTAGCAAAAATTTGGCTACGTGTCGGATTCGAATCTGCTACCTGGCAAATTTGAGTCTCACGCACTAACCCTCAGCCAAGGATTTTAAGAATCCCCAAAAACTAGCCACCAATAACGCAGCTACATATGCTAATAAATTGGCAATTTGATGCAGCAAAAGTAGCATCGAGTTGACACAAATTTGCGTGTAATAAATTGGAAAGCACAAAGCATATTATGTATCAATTACGCATTTCAAAAAAATTGCTAGATACATTGAGTTGAAAAATGTCTGAAATCGAGCTTTTTATCATTGTACTGCTGTTTGAAACAAATAATTTTTTTCTGTTCATTTGATGAATAAAAAATGCATCAACTGGGTTTACTTTTTACTAATCAATTGTCAAAGCACATATGACATTATACTGCTACCGCAGCCTACAGATTCAAACGTGACACCAAAACTAGTACTTTTATTTGCAACTTAAATTGGAAAAAAAACACTTTGCTTCGCAAGCGTAAGAAAAAAAGAAAGTTCTAATATAGAAAGTTCTAAAAAAAGAAATTACCAATATAATACACCTTGCTTCGCAAGTGTAAAGAGTGAATTAGTCTAACGTCAGGTCTTAACTCAAGTAGACATTGTAGTAAAATATCAAAAAACCGTGAATATCGAAGCAATCATTTAATGTGGTTTCCTTTACGTAGTTACTGTTTTTCCAGTTTTTGCATCAGTTTAAACCCGTTCATACGAGCTGTTAGTCTATGAATTCTGCAATTTTGTCTTCGCTCTGTTAACAAAATGCAGTCATCTTATTAAGTTAATTCTTTTTTCACCAAAAATAATTGAATTTGATAAGTAAAAATCGAGTTCTATCTGAAAAACTGTTTCTTTGGACAAGCGTTAGTGCATAACTTTTCTTTAGGAAAACTTTTTTGAGAGATAAAATGGATCTAAAAACACGTTTTGATTGTTAATTAAAACATGACTATGTCCTGATGCAATCGGAAGCGTAACTTGCACATTCTTTCAAAATACAGGTCGCTTCGGACGTTCCGTCCTGGCAACATAGTTTCAACTAATCAAGCTCTAACGTTGGAATGTGCATGGTGAATTGAACTTCTGCATCTCTTGGACATAGTCATCTTTCCTGAAAATTCATGAACAAAGCCAACACACAGTTGGAAAAGAATCAATGAACGCAACAAAACAGAACAAAATATTAAAGTGTTTATTAAAAAACTTGCAACTTTAGAATTTCAAAGCAAAAAATAAGATGATCTTAAAGCTCTTTGAATTTCCACTTTCGAAAATAGAAGTCGATCAAGTCTTTGGTGGCATTTACACTTTTGCTGTTCGATAGCGGAGTTTGCCTTCCTTTTAACAACAGAAATGCACAGAAATTAAAAAGAAATCAAAAAACAAACCGCGAAAATAAATTTGAGCCTGAACAAACTTTAATTTTCTTGAAAAAAAAAATCATCGCCTATATAAGAGTCTGGACTATGTTCATCGACTCATGAAAAGCAACCCGCGATAGCCAAAAAAATTTCGTTTCGCTCAGATTATCTATTTGTCCAGACTCCTAGTGGGCACTGTTTGTGCCATTGTCCTGTCCTTTCCATCAGGAGCTTTCATATTCGAATAAGCTAGTATGTGTTGATTTGTTTTTCATGTTCTCTCCTCGCCACATCTAAAATCGTGGAAAACACCTAGCCTACTACAAAACTCGTTCCAGCTTAAAAAAGCTGAGTTTTTCAACAACAAAAAAAAATCAAAAATATCAAAAAAAATATCAAAATTCGATATTTTTTTAACAAAAAAATGTCAAAATTTTTTGAAATGTTTAAAAGTCGGATCAATTTGTACTACTTGTAAATCGACCGACTTGCCTTAATTGTTACAAGACTACATTTGACTTGCGTTTAAACATGAAAATGATGTGTGGCTGAGCAATCGAGACAAATGAGTGAGACTGACCCCTTTCGGACGTCCTCTATGGCCTGCTGGGCGGAGTTGCGGCTGAATCTGAGCATGAATCTGTACATGTTGCTCATCTCCACCTTGCGCTTGAAGTAGGCCTGCACTGCACTGTCCTTCACAGTCCCGTACTTGTACGCCTCGCTCGGATTCCGCATCTACACCACACAACATTAACCAAAGATGTCCATTGAAATAAATTTAAATTTTTCATTTAATTTTCAATTTTTATCTTCTTAAATGGACATCACTGACATCAACATCGTTGATAGAAAATATTCTTGAGATAACAACAACGCATCTAGACGAAGTTGAATGATCTAAAACTGACCACATACGGTGTAAATGTAACGAAATTAATTGTCTAGTGCTTCATTAACGTTTCGTAAAAAACTGGACTATTTGAAACTTGATGCTAAGAGCTCGAAGACTTTTTAAAATTACTCATGCCGACCATTCTAGATCAGTTCCAGTGGTCATTTGTCTTACTTTTACTTCAATTGTTAACTAGGTATGACTTCAAAATTATGCTACTTGAACTTGAAAGTATCTTTTTTTAACCCACCCTGGCGTCGTTAATTCCGGCTATCTCGGCCTCTGGTCTATCGAGCACAAGAAACGCAGCTAGATTAGCAGTGTAGGATGCCACTATGATCATGGCAAAACCAGCCCACACCACCCCCAGTACTCGGGCACTGAAGCTGCGAGGGGTTCCCTCTCCGATGCCACTGTTCAGCAGGACTCCCCAGGCGAACCACATGGCAGAAGAGAGGTTCAGGGCATCCTCCTCCTCAATGGATCCCTCGCCATGGTTCACCTACACCACACCATGTTATACTATCATGTTATACCACAACAACATTTTATGCCATCACATCATACCATTTAAACCTTGGATCAAGCAAAAGATCCTTAATACTGTTGTGGTGGCACCCTCTCCTTTAACAGGTCGTGAATTTTGATCTTTTTCATTATGAAATCATAAAAACACAAAGAACGTTTCTTTAATTCCTGCCCACGCTAGCCTTTATCACAGTTGAGTTGTTCTTGATCAAGCATGCTTTATGTGCTACATGAAGCACTGCATTGATAGGGTATTGTTGTTTAAGATGTGTGTGACCTTGAATCGGCCGAAGGGGCTGAATCGGTCGAGGAGGTAGAGAATGAGGGCCACCACGTGCACTGAGAGGGCAATGAGGACCCACAGTTGGTACTGGAAGGGCTGGATGAACGAGGCCAGACTGCTGTTCGGCTGTTTCTACACACAACAAATGGACAAAGTAAAGAAAATGAACTGAAATCAAAGAGAAATCTTAAAGTCAAGCCACGAATAAAAAATTTGAATGTAAACAAATTTCAAGACTTTTCCTGGGAAAAAATCATCAAGGTCTCTATATAAGTGACAATCACTTTCTTTTACACTTAATCAGTGCTTGCAAGCTAACTTAACTAACATGAATACGTTCGAAAAAAGTTATGCTGTTTACTAACTTACCCATGTTAGTTACGAAAATTATATGCGACACGCATTCGACTGCTCCCCGTTCTCAACGCTTGGTTAATTAGATCTCATAGCATCCTAAACATTTACCCCGTTTGGTGTTTCCTTGTCACAAAACCCAACGATTGCCGAGCGAACAAAAAACCCTATCTGAAAATGTATTTAGCTTTAACATATGCTTAGAATAGAAAGGAGCAGGCGCAGAGAAAGAACGCATCTCAAAATTCCGGTAGTTGGCTCACAAAATTAAGACAAATAAGAATAGCTCAGGAAACTAAATCAGGCATTTTTTAAGCCTGCTTGTGAATATTTAAGACACTCATAGTCATAGTATTTTCCCTAAGCTGAAAAGCAAAGCAAAGCTAGTACAACGACATAAAAGGTCGAAGCTAGAAGTTGTTAACTAACTTGTTTGTAAGTAGTTGAAAATAAAAGAACTTTGGATAAATAAAGTCTTCTTCTAATAGGACGGGTGTAAAATAATTCTTTGCTCTTCTCACAAAGGAAAAAACAGCAATATGACACACCATTATTTAAAACTTCACTTAAGCTGCTATAATTCTTTAATTCGTAATTGATATTATTAAAAATCTAGACTTTAAAATTAATGTTTTGAACACGGGTCATGATTTCACCAAATTATCCAAATTATACTAACCACTGAAGACTTGAAAACAGTAATGTTATAAATTAATAAATTGGAAATATACCAGAAAGGCTTCCAAGAACATCAATGACAATGAGAAACTACCATCATTCACAACGTCTCAAACTTTATAGACAAGTTCAACTCACAGGAGGGGAGAATGTCAAATATTTTTCCTATCTCTCAAAATAAAAAACAACAATTGGCTCAGCTAAAGTTTTTTTGATATTTTTTATCATCAGAAAGCTGCCATAACCAATTCATATTCTCCTGACCAGACTAGACTAACCTTCTTCACTACAATGGACAGACCCTGATGTTTGAATGGATTTGAGAAGTCAATCACTTGGGCCCGTTCATTGTCTATGGTCAATGCTGCCACTATCAAGTCCGCTTCTCCATTCAAGATCTCCCCTATGGTCCCGTCCCACACCTCCTTCTCCAAAAGACCCCCCGGACCCCCACTGCCAGGGGGACTCTCTGCCGTGGGGTTGATGAGGATGCTACTGCTGTCTGGGATCGCCTTCTGAAACCACAAAACTTCAGTTGCACTTGGAAGCCAAAATCATCCGAGTACTAGAAAGTGTAAAATTTGCGTTTGCAGATTTACGCTGCAAAGATAACAAAAAGATGATTTTCTTTGTGTTCATTTTAGGTACACAAAAATCATAACAAAGCCAACTGACAGTTGGAAAAGAGTAATGAACACAAGTAAACAAAAAAATCACTTTGTTGAAAACGTCTCAACTTTTCAATTTCAAAGAAAAAAAAAACAGATGCCCTTTAAGCTCATTTAATTTCTAGAACAATTTATGATAGGCGCTTTTTTGATTACATGAACCCAACTTGAGAACCAAAGTACAAACACTTTCAAAAAAGACTTGAAATTACTTTAAAAAAATGTAGTGTACGTTCAAAAACCAGGAAGCCGAAAAAATGATCGGTTCAAAGTTCGATAGTTTCATACAGGGGCGGATTTCGGGAGGGGGACGCCCCCCCCCCCCTCAGGGATTTGACCCCCTGCCTACCCAAAGGGTCCCCTCTTTGTACTATTTTGAGATATCCATATTTGGCTGACGAGCCCAAAAGTTTTTCTTAAAGCGCCACTGTATACTAATTTTGATGGGTGAGCGCGCGCCAAAAAAACTTTTGACCTGTATTTTCAAGCGCTTTTTATGACCTGTATTTTCAAAATTTTGCCTGCGGCGCAGAAATTTTGGCAAAACCAGAAAAAAAGGTCGACAAAATTTTGAAAATCCAAACACCCCCACCCCCCCCCCCCCCCCCCCCCCGAGCTCGAAAAAGGTTAAAAATCCGCACCCCCGCCCTCGAGAAAATCCTAGATCTGCCCCTGGTTTTCTATATAAACTGATCGAATCATTTCATTCACAATTCGAGACAAAATATTACAAGACTGCTTGTAGCAGGGCGAAGCCCTGAATGTGCAGACTACCTTTCGAAGTCACGGGCCAAAGTTTCGTTTGCCAAAAAAACGATAAAATAATGGGGAAAAATTTTGAACTTTGATTTACTATACTAATTTTTTCTCCATCCTCCTCACGCTAAGTCAATTAAAAAGTGACATGGCTTTGAGTCTGGTAAGGAATTAACAAGAGCAAGTTGCTTGACTCGATTCAATTTGGAACGAAATAATCTCCGCTTACTATTCAATAGAACCATTTACATACCCCATGTTTTTTTAAAATTATCTCAAGTAAGAGATCTTTTTAAAAATGGGCTAAGAACATCAGTACTTTTCAGATGGCATATAAAGACTCTTCGTGGCTAGTTAAAAAGACAAAAGGGGTCGCCAGAAAAAAATACCGCGAACAAAAATTTCGTCACTTTATTCGAAAGTCGAAACAGTCGGTGGAATAATCGAATGCTCTCAATAGAGCATTTTTTTTTCGAAAATTCATAATAAACCACTCCATCCTAACATCCTCGAGGTGTCAATATTAAATCATATTTTAAAGCACAATTTAAGAATAAATTGACCCGTCGACTAATATAAAAGCAATTCGGCGTATACTATAATAGCTGCTTCCCATGAAATACAATAATATTTTCGTTTCAACCAAAAATAGTGAGAAATCCAAAAGCTTTTATTGATATCAATCAAACTCTCTCAAAAAATCTATAAAAATCCTCAGATACATATCCTTGCCCCTCCGTTATCTGTGACAACAATAAGAGTTGCCTGTTGCAGTAAAGATGCACATGATATTCCGATCGAATATTTAGGTTTATGTTTACGAAAATCAAAGAACAATCAAAATTATATATTTTTTTCAACGTTAAATTTCTACTATTGAACTGAGATAATCATAAACTTCAAAAAAGCGAAATAATAAATCCATTTTTGCCGATATAGTCTACGCTAGTAGCTTAGCAATCCAATGTGCTTGCTTTTTATAGCGTAGGACCTCAAATAATCATAACGGACACTACAACTGTACAACAATCACAAGAAAATGGCATTTGAGTCAGCCTTGATAAAAACGTATAAACTACGATATTTCGGGATACGGCTAGTAAAAAAAATATATTTTCATGCGATGATCTCATTTTTAATAATCTTGAAACAACGATTTTGAGGAATGCACTACATTGATACGTTTTGCTTTTCATCGTAGGCTCATGTGAACAACTACCCTCCAACCCAACCAAGTGATCAATCACAGACCCTAAACTTGAATAGAAAGTTTAAGCAGCGAAGCTAACATACAAACGCCGAACTTTGATTGGTTGGAAACGAAAACTTTTAACAAAGTGAACAACCCTTAAATCAAATCGAAGAGAAGACTGTTCACTTCATCCAAGATCAGAAAAACAAAAACAAAACGCTCAAAGCTCATAAAAAGCCAACAGAAAGGAAGTAAGCAGACAAAAATACTGTTTTTTTTTTCTTGAAAAATCTCAACTTTGGAATTTCGAACATTGGATCTTAAAACTGCCCCAATTTGAGAAAGCTGGACCAACAGGTACAATTTTTTTTAGGCTGGGAAATCTGAAAATTAAATTCAACTATCGAAATTACAAGCTGATCACGTTTTTCATTACCTTTACACTATTGCTGTCCGATAGCGGAAATTGCCCCTACCTTTTACAAAATGCAAATGAACTGAACTCAAATAGAAATCAAAATTCAAACCGCGAAAAATCAAATTTGAGCGTGAACAAATTTTCGGGCCTTTTCCTAAAAACGCAAAGAAATCATAAAGACCTATATAAGAGTACTCACTACGTTCTTCGATTCTTAAAACGAAATAATGTTTATAAATTTTGAGCTTGAACAAATTTGAAGACTTTTCCTGAAAAAAAAATTCGAAAAACAAAATCATCGCTACTTATATACGAGTCTTCATTGCGTTCATTAATTGTTCATAACAAACCTAGCCGATCGAAGATTGGAAAACAGTAATGAACGCAAGTAAACATTAAAACCACTGACTTTCTTAAAAAAATCTCAACTTTCGTTTTTCAAAGAAAAAAATAGATGCTCTATCAGCTCTTTGAATTTTAAGAACAATTTATGATTGGCGCTTTTTTGATTACATGAACCCAACTTGAGAACCAAAGTACGACCACTTTCAAAAAAGACTTGAAATTACTTTTAAAAAATGCAGTGTATGTTCAAAAACCAGGAAGCCGAAAAAATGATCGGTTCAAAGTTCGATGGTTTCATACAGGGGCGGATTTCGGGAGGGGGACGCTCCCCTTTCAGGGATTCGACCCCCTGCCGACCAAAAGGGTCTCCCTTTGAACTATTTTGAGATATCCATATCAATAGGTAAAGTTTTTAGTCCGCGAGAAATCTTGAAATTAAATTCGAAACTAGAAATCGTTCACGTTTTTTGCACCATTTGCACGTTCGTATTTGAAGAGTGCTAATTATGTCACTTTCAGCAGATAAAATTCAATTGAACTCAAAATGTGCATATATACCTAAGTGCAATCATAAATGCATCAATATGTATGAAAGCACATCTGTAGTTATTAGAGACATTAGACGTTTCCGGAAAAAAAATCAGCAGAACCTATAAAAGAGTCTTCACTACGTTTATTACTCTTAATCAATCGGCAGAAAGTACTTTGAAAGATGAAGCGAAAGAATAGAGCTTATGCATGCCCGAAGAGACCACTTGAAAGATACGACGCCCTTTCTCGCTTGACATGTTCACAAACTGCGGCTAAAAGACAGATTAGCCCAACTAATTACCAGTTAGTAGCTTATACAAGGTTAAAAAATTAGAGAAACAAAAGAACTATCTTCAACTTTAAACAATTAAATTTATAATTAGATAAAACTCATTCACCAATACCAATTTTTCGGATCAGCTTATAAAGTTAGCATTAAGGAGAGAAATTAGTCACAAATTGGCTTAAAAAGGACAGCCCGTTTATGGCGTCCACTCATTCAAGCAATTTTCCGACTAATTAATTGCTTCAGCACGTAAACTATTATTAACTTAATTATTACTTTTCCGAGAATAATAGGATGGAATAACAATAAACTTACAGATGCTCTGGCACCGAACTTTCCATCCGCCACCAGATGCAACTCGTATGATATCTTGAGCTGTGCAGCCAACTTGACCAGCAGGTCTATGCAGTAGCCATAGCAGCACCATTGTTCAGCTAGAATAAAAACCAGTAATTTGGTCAAATTGTAAAAAAAAACTAGCATTAAACAAAAAAAATTCTTGAAAAACAGTACTGACACCACGGAAATATTTAGGAATCTCTCGAGGGGGGACATGGGTTAATAAAAAGATAACAAGTTTCGAAAACTGATGATCCGATTACAATGAAAACCTTTTGACTAAATTTTCTATGCCGCTGGAAATTTTCTGGAAAAACAAACAGGGCAAAAGAGACATCTCTAAGAACTTTATAGAATGATTTGACCAAATTTCAAATTTTTTCTTTCCGGCGCGCGCTTTACTCTAAAGTTTGGTGTATGTAGGCGCCAAAGTCGCCTTTAGAAAGCTAATGGGTCGTCTATCAAAAATTGATGTCTAAAAGTAGTGACAAAGGTTGGACCCTTTGGTTGGTCAGGGGGTCGAATCCCTGAGACGGAGGGAAGGGGGGGGGGGGGGTCAACGCCATATCTTCCATCGTCAAATCCACTACTAACTGACATAATAATCAGTCTCAGTAGCAAAATCTGCGGGTGGCTCGCTGTTCAGAAGTTTTAGTCATACAACCTAATGGATTTTATTTGGATTACAACTTCCAGATTAATTAATTTCACAGCAACAAGTTCAGAACTTTAAGGGTAAAATTCTCTACTTACTTAGCCGAGTGGAGCACTTACTAATCTATCCACTGTTAACTTTCTAGGCCGTACTACTAACTTTGATTTCTGTCCGCAAAAGGGGGTAGTATGCATGGCACTGCATTAGCATCTGAAGGTATGTCTGGCTGACTGCGTAGGATGTTGTGACAGGTGCCATCTGGGAAGGCTCTCATCTTGTTCACAAACGGCTCTGTTATTGCAGTCACTATCTGAACAAGACAACACTTAAAATTTAAAACAATTTTGTTTTCAACTAGAAACTCATAACCAAAGATTAAGTTAAGTGTATATTTACACTTGGGATCATTAACTCCAGAATATAAAGCAAGAGCCAACATACAAGCTTTTGGATCCTTCCGGCTAGTTCAAACATCTGTTGAAATTTTCTGCTAATGTTATCATCCCTGTCAACTGCATTAAACTCCAAGAAACAATTTTGGGATAGCTAACTTTTTCGAGCCAGAATCAAACTTGCTGGTCTCAAATCATACTTTCTCTTGGCCTTTATGCTCGATGTCTAACAGGAAAGATCCGGGGTAGTCAGAACTTGACGCAGAAAAGCTCTTTTCGAGACGATCTTCTAAATTTACCACATTCAAACTCAGTGTTGAAGTCAGAGACTCCACAGATCTTGCTGGTTCGGAACATAATGTAATAAATTCTATTAATTTTCTTTAAATTAAACAGTCAGAGGCGTAACCCGAAGATTAGTTATCGAAGCTTAACTTCGCTATGACTTACTTGCAAGAGTTCACCTAACAAATTTCGTCGCATGTTAGAATTTCGAAACGGCATCCATGTGATTGCTAGCAAGCTTCACTTCAACTTGCACCACAATGCCGTTTCTTGAAAATTACCGAGTTAAATGTCACATGAGCAAACGCACTGAAAATCAGTTGTTGAAGTCTAAGTCCACAAAGAAAACACCAGTTCGCAAAAGTTTTTACACGTCAAACATCAAAAACTGTTATTTATGTTAAACTCACCAAACTGCATCAAACTCTTATACTGATCAGCGAACCGGACAATAGCCAGATATTCTCTTTTATCGAATATGCTTTTATCGAAACATTTCAGCTTTGATGTTGTTTGAAAAATCGCCACACGTTTGTTTCGGCAGAGGGCCTTAATGCGTATTTTTAACTGTCTACTAATGAAACAGAACGGCCCCAAGTATTTTTGCTCGACTGGTTCGGAAACTGGAACGGAACATTTTTTAAGTCAATTGAGCATACTGCTGTTGATTCAAAATGACACTGGGCATATATGCAATCAGAAGAACTATGGTCACTGAAGGCTTACAAAACGGACTACAATAACACACCCCCCCCCCCCCCCCAAAGCAGTTTAGGGGAGGGGTGTGGTGCGTCGTTGTTTAGTCTTAAACATGACGTCATCAGTGTGCTAGCTATTTCGTGCTAAACTCCATTATCGGTCAAGGTCGTTACCGACCTGCCAATCCACTTGAACCTTAACAGCATGCGCTCTATTCACTCTCTGTCAACTTATGAAAGATTTAAGTTGTATTTACTTCTATTGTCATGACATTATTTAAATACTAATCTATCTATATTATCTATATGATAACATAACAAGGAGAATTAATTCTTGTTTTAAAACTGTCTTTCGACGTTTCACATGGCGCAGCCAGCAGTTTCGACCTCCGAGGATCGAACTGACCTGTTGGGCGTATCCGTATTTTGGCATAAACCAACTGCGGACCCACCACATAGCTGGGACTCGTGGATAGGTCAATTCAACTTGGCAATTACTCTAAGAGAGAGATGCGATCCACGAGAGTTATTAAAACCGCCGGGTGTCGTACACGACGATCCTGCTCCAAAGCCAGAAGTTGTAGGGGCGGATGAAGATGCTGCAGCAATCGCAAGTCGTATTGCACGTAATGACGCAGCAGTCCGGAAAGTCACAGAAATGAATGAAGAGCGCCGGGCGAAAGGTCCCCGAGTTGCACCAGGAGTGTATTATTTCGAGGTTGAACAACGTGTTAAATCTCGCTTATTTTTCTCGCTCGGCTCAGAAGGGAGGAAAAGATTCCTCCAA